TGCTTTCAGATCACCACAGAGGTTTTCTCGTGTCAGAGTAAAGTCAACTTTTAACCAGACATTTTAAGTTTGGAAATCAGTGCTTTGTTTAAAAAAGGAAGTGTGTGGCCGGCATGGGAACTCCTGATAGTGCAGTGTGTCCTTGGTGTTGGTACCAGCGAGTGCTGCTCTGGCAGTCCAGGTGGAGCATCTGGAGCTTGTGTCACAGGCGGTGGGAAGGGTGGATTGTATGTTTCTGAGGATCAGAAAACTTTGGCACCACTGTTGAGGAAGATCCACCTGGCAGCTGTGTGTAAGGGACATTGCCATGGTCTGAATGAGAGATGACAAAGGCTGAACAGAGATGTTTATGGGCTCAGTCTGGAAGGGAAGGATGGGGATGCCTCTGCAGGAGTTGGCAGTGGGTTACTCATGGGAAGGTCGGTTTTAAAGGTGACAGGTTTTAAACCCTGTTGAAGAGGGAGTGGTAATGGAGGCAGGCTTTGAAGGAAGGATTAGTTTCATTTTGAACATATGGGGCTGTCAGGCAGGTAGTTGGAATTGCAGCTGGAGAGAAGTTGGGTGTCATTTGAAGTAGAAAGGGAGAAGGGGTCTGTGAATGAAGTTGGAGCAGTATTTATAGACAGGAGCAGGTGAAATGACCAACAAAGAGGTGAGGTTGGAAATGTGGAAGAGAAAGAGGTCAGGTGATGGAGTGTGGCCTCTGAGGAGGCTCAGGAACGTAGTGGCAGCTGGGCCTGGGGTAAGGGAGACTGCTCTCCTTGTCAGCTGGAGGTGAGATGGAAGCGAAGAGAGTGATAGTAGAGAGAGGCTGGAGTGGGAAAGAGGCCTCCCCCACCAGTCAGCTGTGTCTGTGAGTGTCCATGTGCTCTGCCCTCACACAAGGTTGGATGGCGGGGAGGGTGGCTGCTAGAGGAAGGAGCTCAGTAACGCAGCTCGTTATATTTTATTGAGAGTCTGTTTTGAATCCTGCCTCTGCCACAGTTTGTGTGACCTTAGACAAGTTATTTAGTCCCTCTGTACCCTTGTTTTCTCATCTGTAAAATGGGTATAATAATAGCACCTACCTCATCAAATATTGTGAGGATTAATTACTACATGAAGAGCATTTAAAACATGACATCAAACCAGGACTTCGAACCATATTGAACCCCTGCTAATAGTTTGCATTTCCACCCCCAAGATATACTGAATCAGAATCTACAGTTTAACAAGATCCCCAGGTGATTCTTATGTATAATAAATTTTGGGAGCACTGCTCTACTTCTGGTTCTCAGAATTGGTCCCTAACCAGCAGCATCGCCTAGGAACTTGTTAGAAATGCGAAGTCTCAGCAGGGGTTCAAACTGGAACAAACTGGTTGGAAGCCCTGCATGGAACACAGTATGTGCCTTTGGACCCCACTGGCTTCGGACTACTTCTTTAGGCAGAATGACTTTTTGGGAAGCAAACCTAAGAGCATTGAATCAAGGCCACATTTCCTGGGCCCAAAGGTCAGGTTTGTTTGTTTGTTTGTTTTTTAAAGAACTTTGGGATTCGGCTGAGGTCCCACACCGTTGGAAGACATTAAGAATAATTCCTTGCATTCAACCTTATAGTGCTTTCTAGTTTACTAAGTGCTTCAACCTGTAGTCCCTCATTTGATCTTCACACCCAACCTGTGAGATAGAGATTATCAGCTTCCTTTCACAGGTAGGAAAACTCCCCCTCAGCAAGGCTAAGGAATATGCTCCAGGTGTGATCTCCCTCAACAAGTACCTTTATGGAGTCTCCTGAGCGCTGAGGCTTAGAACCCAGGACTCCCGACCTCACTCTGTGTGCTCCTTCCTTCCACCAGGTAGGTGGAAACAGAACTTGGATGTGAAATAAATGATGTAAATTATAAAAGGGTGATCTTTGCGAAAAGGAACTAAACAGCGTTAGGTCATCTTGTCTGTGAGGCCAAGTGCTAAGGAAGGGGAATTGAGACCCCAGACACCCGTCCTGTTTATCGTGCCACTATAGTGTGTTGACTGGGTTTCAGTCGTGGAAGATGCCAGGTGCCCCTAAAGCCTAAGACCTGCTTGCCTGGTTGGTCTGTGGAGAGGTCTTGGGAGGAGTCCATTGTATTTAAATTACATGTGAGCATCTGCAGTTTCCTCCGTTTCTACTCAGCCTTTGCCTTTTCACACTTCAGAAGGGTAATGACCTTTTAGTTGGAAACCCAGAGTTGCAGTACTTTCCCAGCGTCGTAAGAGTAAGCAGAGGTTTTAGAATCACTTGATTTATGGAATAACAATCACGAATCTCCTTATATAAAAATAGTGGTAGAATTTGCAACTTCTTCCCAAAGGTTTGATATTGTGACTTTTATTCAATGCTTGGCACTTCCTCATTTATAAAATTTCTCTCCTTGTGGCCTAAACATGTGACTTTTAAGGAGCCAAAAGAGGGATAAGTCATAATTTATATTTTAACATATTAAAGAATGAATTCAAAGACAATTAAGAGACTCCTTAGTGTTGCCAAGTGGAAACCCCAGGTTCTGCTCGGCACAACTCGTCTCAGCCCATAAACGATAGACCAATGTGGGAGAGTAGAAAGGTGCCTTTATTTAATTGTGCAAGGAAAGGAACAATCAGGGCTGCTGCCGCCAAGACTGCTCAGCAGGGGTGAGGGAGAAGGTTACTTTTAAGGGGTTTACAAGTAGGAACTTCATACAAGTTATATTAGCAACATTCTTAATCATACTACGCAGGTGCAATGGGGTTTACATATTATTTCATGCATCGTATGTTCAGAAAAGGGTGGTTAAACTCCACCTAGAGGCAGGGAAGTTACTATGTATGAGGTACTTAATGAGCTAAAAGGCTATCCTGAATGTCAGCATGACTCCTAAACCAGTTTTCACCAATTTCCTGTAGTTTTGGGCAGCAGTTAAGGAGAGGGGAACCAGGAATTTAATGTAAAGCTATGGGTCATGCCAAACATAGGAACCAGGAATTTAATGTAAAGCTATGGATCATGCCAAACATAGGAACCAGGATTTTAATGTAAAGCTATGGATCATGCCAAACATAGGAACCAGGATTTTAATGTAAAGCTATGGATCATGCCAAACATAGGAACCAGGATTTTAATGTAAAGCTATGGGGCATGCCAAGCAAAGGACCTAGGATTTTTATATAAAGCTGCAGGGTGTGCCGTGCAAGCTGCTTGAGGCAGTGGAATTTTCCACAGCCTGGGGATCTCTGTCTTATCAGGTTCCCTCACACATACCCACTTCAACCTCCTGGGTGTTTTTTCTTTCATGGTTTTAGGGCTTCAGGGATTGCTTCGGGATTTGTATCTAGACCCTAAGGAGACCTGGTAGCACAGTGGTTAAGTGCTTGGCTGCTAACAGAAAGGTTGGCGGTTCCAACCCACCAGCTGCTCTAACAAGGATGTGGCAGTGTGCCTCTGTAAAGATTACAGCCTTGGAAACCCTATGGGCAGTCCTGCTGTATCCTACAGGGTTGCTACGAGTCGGGTATCTTGACCCTGAGGGCCATCACTGACTGAATTAACTTTCTGCACATGTATTAAAGTCCTGTGCTACTGTCACTGCCAGGAATTAGTATTCATGCTGTTGCTTCTGTTCAGATGTTTAAAAATGGCTTCGCCACTAGTCATGTTGGAGCCAAGTTTCCTTCCCCAATATCCTGAGTTTCCCTGCTAGACAGACATGGTAATCCAGGGCTCTCCCTGGCTTCTGGTGCTCTGTGACTTTGTGATGCAAAGGCTCGGTGGCACTTAGGGCACACCCTTTGGAGCCAGATGCTGACCCAGTGATTCACACTGAGCCCTCCCTCCCCCTTCTGAATTTTCTGACAACCTTGTGACTCTCACATGGGGAATATGAGTGGCTCTAGAGAAATCTTTGCATAAGAGATTTTTAACATTTCTTTTAAGATTGGTGATTTTCCTTAAAGTTAGTACTTGTTTTCTACTTCATTCTCAAGGGTAAGCTGTTCATTCTTGCTCCTCCAGTCTTACTTAGGGTTTATTGATGCTTGTTATTTTGTTCTTCATGTTACTGATGTTGTACTGATATTAATTAACCTAAATATATGTGGGAGTGTTCTTTCATTGTTTAGAGCTTATATAATTTGTTGGGCAGATGTGCATACTAGTGCCTTATTAAATTGCTAACTCACATACTGCTTTGCTTTCCTCTACATTGTAATTCTTAGGGATCTTACGTGGAACTAGGTAACATACTCATATTGGCAAGTAAAGTAGCAGAAAGTTGAAATCATGTAAATAAGTGACTTCCATTACCATCTTCTCCACCAGCTTATTTGACAAGCTCACTTTGTGCATTTGGTCCATTCTAATTAATATTTTTCAAAATGCTTAATGAATGCCTCTTGCTGTCACTTCATTTTGAAGGTAAAATTGTTGCTGCTGTTGGGTGCCATCCAGTCAATTCTGACTCATAGCGACCCTATGTACAACAGAACAAAACACTGCCCAATCCTGCACTATCCCCACAATCATTGGTATGTATGAGCCCATTGTTGAAGCCACTGTGTCAGTCCATCTCCTTGAGGGTCTTCCTCTTTTTCCTTGACCCTCTACTTTATTCAGCATGAAATCCTTCTCCAGGGACTGGTCGCCCTGATAACACGTCCAAAGTATATGAGACGAAGCCTCACCATCCTTGCTTCTCAGGAACATTTTGACTGTATTTCTTCCAAGACAGATTTGTTTGTTCTTCTGGCAGTCCACAGTATATTCAGTAGTCTTTGCTAACACCGTAATTCAAAGACGTCAGTTCTCCTTTGGTCTTCCTTAGTCATTGTCCAGCTTTCACATGCATATGAGGCAATTGAAAATACCATGGCTTGGGTCGGTTGCACTTTAGTCCTCAAAGTAACATTAAAAGGTTCTATAATTGTGCTTCTGTGGGCTCTTTTTGTTGTTGAAAATGTTTTTTTGTATTGAGGCCCTGGTAACAGTTTTGTGTTGACTTTCTGTAGGTGTTTTCCCAGTCCTGTGTTTGGTATGGAGAGTGTGGGATTGCAACTGGAGATAAGAGGTACAATTGCAAATATTCTGGGCCACCAAAACCATTGCCAAAGGATGGGTATGACTTGGTGCAGGTAAGTTCATTGTCTGGGGCATTGAGAACATAAAACACTGACCAAGAGATCCTCTATGAATATATCTTAAATATTTTTATGGGATGAGGGGGCTTAAATCTTACCCAAACCCCTATATTTAGCACACAATGGCAGAGAAACTAACATAACTCCAGAGGCTTAATTGTTCACGAACTGACTTTATATCTCATAAGATTTCACAACCACAGGTTACTATTTACAGACAAACCTTGGTTCCTCAAATGCTCTTTGCAGGTTTTGCAAAATATATTAGAAGTTAGCCTTTTTTAGTTCCTAGATTTCAGGACTTGAATGGACTCTGCGACTGAGTAGCTATGTCTTCTTTGTCTTCTCTTCATTTTGGTGATTCCTGTGTTTTCTCTGAAGAGCCTGTAAATTTTGGCTGCTATCAAGGTTATCCTTTTATCATCCCTGGTACACAGGGATATTAGAAAAGAACTGGAAATACCAGGTTGAAGAGACTGATTTTAGAGACATAATGTAAAACCAAGTTGACATAGTAGATCTTCTGGACTCAGTTGCTTCTTTCATCAGAATTATTAAAGGCATCTGTCTTTGCTCGCAGTGACTGATGGAAATAGTAAATAGCACTTGGGTTGAACATAAACACAGAAAAAAACCTAAGATGACCCAGCTATTCCACTCTTAGGTATATACTCAAAAGACTTGAAAATAGCAACACCAACAGACACATGTCCACCAACATTTATTGCAGCACTTTTCACAATAGCCGAAAGGTGGAAATGTCTATCGACAGATGAATGGATAAACAAAACATAGCATATACATACAATGGAATATTACTCAGCTGTAAAGAGAAATCAAGTCCTGATCCATGCCACATCATGGATGAATCTTGAAAACATGCTTAGCAAAATTAGTCAGTCGCAAAAGGACAAATACTAGATGATCTCACTTATATGAAATAAGCAAATATATAGAAACCAAAGATTATTAATGGTTACCGGGGTGGGAGGGGAGGAGGAGGGAGGAGTCATTGCTTAGAGGCCACTGAGTTTCTGTTAATGGTGGTGGAATAGTTTGGAAAGGGATGATGAGAATGGTTGTACAACTTGCAGAATGTAATCAGTGTCACTGAATTATACATGTAGAAATTGATGAATTGGCATATATTATGGAGCCCTGGTGGCGCAATGGTTAAGAGCTCAGCTGCTAACCAGAAGATCGGCAATTCGAATCCACCAGCTACTCCTTGGAAACCCCATGGGGCAGTTCTACTCTGTCCTATAGAGTCTCTATGAGTCAGAATTTCCAACTCAGTGGCAGTGGGTTTGGATTTTTTTTTTTTTGATGTTGTGTGTAAACAGGAGCCCTGGTTGCGCAGTGGTTAAGCACTTGTGCTAATCGAAAGGTCAGCAGTTAGAATCCACCAGCAGCTCCATGGGAAAAAGATGTGGCAATCGGCTTCCATAAAGATTTACAGCCTAGGAAACCCTATGTGGCAGGGTTGTTTTTCTTTTTTTTTTTTAATGTTGTGTATATTTTCACCACAATAAAAACATTTTTTAAAGCCTAAGAAGAGGTAAAATGGTTGTCAAGGGAAGAGAGCAAGCTTTCATAAAAGAAAAAAATTAGCTATGTGTCTACTACCTCTACTTGTAGTAAATTGATTGCCTTTTAAAAGAATTCTCCAAGAACTTTGCACATATGTTCCTCACCCTCGTGTACCTGAAAAGGATTACACGAATGAAGTTGTCTTACGTCACTGAGGAGTATTTGTCCTTATTCTAACTCTGCTGCTCTGATGTCTGTGCTCGCTCGCCCCAAAGGAGCTCTGTCCAGGATTCTTCTTTGACAATGTTACTCTTTGTTGCGACGTTCAGCAGCTTCGGACGCTGAAAGACAACCTGCAGCTGCCTCTACAGTTTCTGTCCAGGTAGGTTGACCGCTGGGGCAAACAGAACAAATAGGTTTTTTTTTAGGTATATTTATTAACTAGTCACATTCTGATTTCCTTTGAAAAAGTCAGTTTTTTTTTGTTTTGTATTATTTTAAGAAAGCAATCTTATGACTTGTCAGAAATAAAGTTATAATTGTCAGACTTGGTCCTCTTTCTTGTTATATTCATTGGTTCTCCTCTAAGATAGCTTCACTCCAAAGGGTATCTGCGCTTTGGCCTAGGTTCTTTCAGGCTTGAGGCTCTGTGTGCTATGGGAAGGGGATCCTGGGGTTCCTGCTGAGACTCTGGCCTGGGACCCTCGTTATGTAGTCACATATGTCTCCTCCCTCCTCTCCTTCTCCGATTTGTGCATTATTCTCTCTTCTTGTGGTAAAACTATGCTAGGGTCCTGGTCGTCATCAGAGCTGGGCTTTGGTGGCTGTTAACAAGCGCATTCTGGTGTAATTGTCTGGCTTTATCCAAATTGGTTTCCTGCCCAGTCTGTTCTCTGCAACCACAGCAGTGTAAAGGGTTGCATAATCAACGGTCTTCTCTAGGCCCACACAGTAACTCTCAAATGTTCAAAAGAACAAGCTCGAGTGTTCTTTTAGAACAGCAGGTTGTGACGTCTTTCTGAGTTTGTCAGACTTAAATGTTTGTGAAGCACGTTTGAAGAGGGGGAAAGTGTTTATCTCTGCAGGCAATACGGCAGGTGACAGAGTACAAGTCAGCTGCCACTTATTAACTTGCCAGAAGTTTAAATTGACAATACAGAGTGGAAAACTATCACTAAATCAATCATTCTTCGGCACAACACGTGATATAATAAATAGATCAAAAAATGAAAATCAGATCAGACCAGTATACCTTGTGGAAGGCAGGTGAACATTAAGGGAGCCAGATCGGAGCCCTCCCTTCAGTCAAAACACATTTTCAAGCACCCACCCTGGGTGAGGCATGATGGACACAAACATAAGAGACAGCCGCATTTTCCCCATGTTATTACCAGACACTGAAGCTTTATTTATAGTAACAAATAATGAGAAAAAACCTGCCATATGAAATATCACACAGCCATCAAAATTTATGATTATGGAGATTATATGTTGTTGTTTTTGGGTGCCATCAAGTCAATTCCGACTCATGGCGACCCCATGTGACAGAGTACAATTGCCCCATAGGGTTTTTTAGGCTATAATGTTTATTAGAGGAGATCACCTGGCCTTTCTCGAGCAGAGTTTCTGGGTGGGTTCAAACTGCCAACCTTTCGGTTGGCAGCCAAGTGCTTAACCGTTGTGCCACTGGGGCTCTTTAGATTATATGTAGTAACGTGGAAACAAGCTTGTTTCATAGAAAACTGTTTACCTTAAGAGTGATTTTCCATAATGTAGTTACATTACTTTTATATTGTTAAAAAAAATTTTTGTGTGTGTAATTTAGAAAAGTACTGCTTGCTTTAGAGCTTAATTCAGATGATTGAAAAGTAGAGGGCACCTGGTTTTCTAAGTAGTGACTTAGTAATTTCTTCCTTTTGAAATTGCATCTGAACAAAATACAATTACAGCAGTTTTTAAAGCGATGTCTTTAACATGAGATATTAGGTGTAGAGTTAGTGAGCTGAGTGTATTCTTATGGTAATTCATTTGTCTCTTTACAATAGTTTTATTTGTATATTTTAAATCAACTTTTTGCTATCTCTGTTATCTGTGAAATCATACAAAATATGATTTGCTTTTCTTTAGATGTCCATCCTGTTTTTATAACCTAATGAACCTGTTTTGTGAGCTGACCTGTAGCCCCCAACAGAGTCAGTTTCTGAATGTCACAGCAACTAAAGATTATGTTGATCCTGTTACAAACCAGACAAAAACGAACGTAGAAGAGTTACAGTACTATATTGGAGAGAGGTTTGCCAATGGTAAGTAAACTTGTAATTATTCCTTTTTCACAGCTGGCCTCAGAACAGGGATCAAGTTGTTCCTTTCCATCATCCTGTCAAAGTATGGAAGGTGATCATTTTCAGTTTCATTTGCCATGAAATGAGAGTTGTTGTTTTGCTTGTATCCTAGGACTTGGTCTATAACCTGTAAGACAATCTCCCTGAAGTATTTGCTTTCACTCCCTTCCTAAGTTTAAGTTCCCCACCTGGAAAATTTCAGTATGTGCAAATTTCCTTCTGTGTACTTCGTTAATAATCATTGGAAGTTTGGCTGTAGTGGTCATGAATTGTGTAACTGCATGAATTACTGCAAGACTGATGAAACGGGGTAAGAAGGTAGACCTAGTTGGTGGAGGAAGAGAAAAGGTTTTTTGTTTATTTAATTTTTTTTTTATTGTACTTTAGATGAAGGTTTACAGAGCAAACCAGTTTCTCATTAAACAATTAATACATGTATTGTTTTGTGACATTGGTTGCCAACCCCACAACATGTCAGCACACTCCCCTTCTCAACCTTGGGTTCCCTATTACCAGCTTTCCTGTTCCCTCTGCCTCCTCGTCCTTGCCCTTGAGCTGGTGTGCCCTTTTAGTCTTCTTTTGTTTTATAAGCCTCTCTAATCTTTGGCTGAAGGGTGAACCTCAGGAATGACTTCATTACTGAGTTGAAAGAGTGTATGGGGCCATACTCTTGGGGTTTCTCTAGTCTCTGTCAGGCCAGTAAGTGTAGTCTTTGTGTGTGTGTGTGTGTGTGTGTGTGTGTGTGTGTGAGAGAGAGAGAGAGCAAGAGAGAGAGAATTTTGTTCTGCATTTTTAGGAGAAGAGGTTTTGACTATGAACAAGCAGATCACCATCAGAAAAGTAAGCAGATACAGCAAGTAGGAGAAATGGCACCTCAATAGCTAGAAATCCTAGATAGTCTGAAAGAGAGACCATATAATGTTTGTTGAAAATGACTAATGAAAGAATTCTGAAAGAATAGAACACTATGGAAAAAGAGTGAGCATATTAGATATAGAACCAACTGGATCTGTTAGTGAGCAGCTGTCACTGAAGTGGACTAATAGATTAAACAGCATATTAGACACAGCTGAACAAAGAGTATGTCTAAGAAAAATCTACAAAATAATAAGAATTTTAGCAAAGTTGTTGACTATAAGGGCAACATACAAATTTAATTGTAATGACCAATTAAAAATGTGACAGAAAAAAAAAAAATAGGAAAAAAGATTCCAAGACAACAAAAATAAGGTACCTAGGAAAAACCTACCAAAAAATATAAAGACATCCTGCCAGAATGGAGAGAGCTTATTCTGTCCAGAAACAGAACCATGATATATGGAAAGCTGATAAATGGCAGGTGTGTAGGGACATATCACTGAGGGAAAAGGTAGGCTACTCAGTAAATGGGCCGAGACAATTGATTATCCATATTCGTCTAATTTTTATTTTTGCCTATCATGTTGTACTAAAAATAAATTATTTATAAAACCTAATGTGAAAAGCAAACTTTAAAATTTTTAGAAATAAATATCCTTATGACTTTAAGGTAAGGAAGGATTTCTGGACAAGAGAAACCCATTGCCGTCGAGTCGATTCCGAGTCATAGCGACCCTACAGGACAAAGTAGAACTGCCCCACAGGGTTTCCAAGGAGCGTCTGGTGGATTCGAACTGCCAACCTTTTGGTTAGCAGCTGTAGCTCTTAACCGCTGTACCACCAGGACTCTCTAGACAAGAGAGGGAAAACAAAAACTGTAAGTGAAAAGATTTATGAATACACATGATTAGTGTCTAGAACAAGTAGAGTTTTGTAAATAATCAGTTTTAAAAAACAGGCAGTAGACAGATCAGAAGATAGCACCAATAAAGTTTTGAAAAGATGCTCAACTTCACTAGTGATCAGTGCCATGCAGGTTTAAACAGTGAGCTGCCATTTCACACATTGTGAGACTAGCTCAAACTAGAAAGTTAGCCATTTCCAGGTATTGGTAAGAATGTGGGACGGTAGGAATTCTAATATACTGCATCATTAGTGTAAATTGGTACGAGGGTTTGGAAACCTTTTTGAAAAACAATTTTGGAATACCTGGTAAAGCTGACGGTACATATAACCTCACCCCAGGCACTTCACTCATAGATGCCCGCCTTAGAGAAAGTGTTCTGCGTGTAAACAGAGGGACCCAGGTAAGAATGTTCATTGTAGCATTAATGTGATCATGCAAAATTAGAGGCACTAAGTGCTTACTAGTAGAATGGATGAATTTGTTGGAAGATTAGTCATCGTCCTATAAAAGAATACAAAAAATGGTTAAAATGTATGAATTAGTGTTATACCTATCAGCATGAATGAATCTTAAAAAATGTTGACTGAGAAATAAGTTTCAGAACATGTATACAAGAAAGAAAAAAAACAAAACGCAAACATGTTGCCGTCGAGTCAATTCCAACCCATAGTGACCCTATAGGAGAGAGTAGAACTACCCCCATAGGGTTTCAAGGAACAGCTGGTAGATTCGAACTGCCAAGCTTTTGGTTAGTAGCCACTGTGCTACCAGGGCTGTGTATGGTATACATTTTTATGTGAATTTTTAAAACAAATTAGAACTATACATCTATGTATATAATATGTCATGGTAGTATATAAACCAGTATGGGAATGATAACATCGAATTCAGGATGTAGTCACCTTAGGGAAGGGGAATGGGTGCAGGTAGGGATAGTTAGGGGGCTTCAACTGTATCTATAGTACATTTTTTTTTAAAGTTGAAGCAGATGTTGTAAAATGGTAAGATTGATATAGATTAGTGGTGAGTACATAAGAATTATATCAGTCTCCATACTTTTCTGTATGCTTGAAATATAAAATAAAACCTAAACACCAGATGGTGAACTGAAAGATGTGAGGGAATTACCCAGAAAACAGCACAGAGATGTAAAGATCTGGAACCATTAAAGAAGTGACACGTGGGATGAAATGAGGAACTTCAGAAGTAGAAAAAGTAGAGAGTTGAGAAGAGACAATAAGCGAAGGCATAATGGCTGAGAATTTTCCAGAATGGATGAGAGATGAATCCTCAGATTTAACAAACAAAATGAATCCTTCAGCAGGATAAATTAAAAAGAATTAACACACCTGAATAGAGCTTTGGAGTTGTTAGCTGCTGTCAATTCAGCCCCCGACTCATGGCGATGCCATGCGTGACAGAACAGGACCGTTGTGATCCATAGAGTTTTCATTGGCTGATTTTTGGAAATAGATCGCCAGGCCTTTCTTCCTAGCACTGAAACCAGTTCAGTGTCATAGCAACACGCAAGCCTCCACTGACAGACGGGTGGCAGCACGTGAGGTGCATTGGCCGAGACTCAAACCTGGGTCTCCCACATGGAATTCTACCCCTGAGCCACCACTGCCCCATCTAGAATAACTATAACACTCCAAAGACAGATACCTTAAAAACAAGTAGAAAGAAGAGACAAATCATAAAGAATGACTGTTAAGAGATTTTTCTCACCAACAATGATAGAGGCCAGAAGGCAGTGGAATAGTATCTTGACGGTTCTGTGGGAGATATCAGTTACTGTAGCTGTCTTATAATAAGGGAAAAACAGAATGAATTTATAAACATCTCCTTAAAGTACAGGGGAAGAAGATCCTAGAAAGTTTTAAGCGAGCAGGGGGCTGGCAAATGAAAATTAACACTATAGGACCCATTACTACTACTTTCTTACGTGCAAAATATCATGATATGAATGACCCTTATTTAGTGTGTCTTCTTTATGTGTACTGAAATAAAACCAAAAAGAATAGCTATTAGGTTCATTCACACATGACCTCTGCCCTGAAACCAGATTTCCCCATAAATTCCATAAATCTCCAGCTGTATATTATCCCACCCCAGAGGTTTCCTGGAACCCACTTCATTGGCTGCAGAGGTACCAACCAGGCTCATAGCTCCTCCTTCCTCAGCCCGAGCATGCTCTTCTCTGCAGCACTCAGCATCTCTAACGTGCTGTAAGAAATGGCACAGGGTAACAGGAACCTTTCCTGTCTGTGATTTACTTTTAAGTTACTTGGAATCTAGCCTAGAATATTATTTGCAGGGGGAGAGCCCAGTTTGAAGGTCATCTCAGTTCCACCCTTTGTGTCTACCATCCTGCGTCCAGCCTGCTCACCGAGTGTGGCTCCTGGTTGCAGGGCACAGAGTGTTCAGTGTTCCCACATGCGCTTCCTTCCATAAGACCTCCCAGGTGAGTTAAAGCAAGCACCAGCTTTCAGTCTTTTCCCTGGGGTTCCTCTTCTAGCCATGTACAATGCCTGCCGGGACGTGGAGGCCCCCTCAAGTAATGACAAAGCCTTGGGGCTGCTGTGTGGGAAGGACGCCAAGGCCTGCAATGCCACCAACTGGATTGAGTACATGTTCAACAAGGATAATGGGCAGGCTCCTTTCACCATCACGCCCATTTTTTCAGGTGAGGATAAAGACTCCCAAGTTTGGTGCCTTTATGATGTTATTTGAAAGCCCAAACCCCATCATCTGCAATAGGAAAATAAACGGTTTCAGATGACTAGTACCTGAAGTGACTCTCCAGTGAGAGAGGTACTAGAGAGAGAGAGAGGTAGAGTTCTGTCTAGGGTTCATTTAGGGAAGGGCTGTGGGAATGGAAGATGAAAGGAAAAATTGCCCTCAGGTATTGCTACATAACTGAAAGAATAAACTGTTACCAAAAAAAGGCTGGAAAGTGTTACAAAGGCTTTTTTCGAAACTCTGCTATAGCATTTGACTAGCTCCTCAGAGTGGAGGTGGGGCATGATTTAAGGTTTACCTTGGTTTATAGTGTATTCAGTTCTCAGTGACAAAACCTCGTGTAAGTTAGTGAGGTAACTTAAAATTTTAGAGGACTAAGCAGCAAAACATAATTTTATCAAACAAAAACCGTGGGCTTTTTTATTCTTACATTTATTTCAGTGTGCTTATTGTTGGGTTGAAATATAATTTAAGACAAAAAATGTTTAATGATTTTTTTTTTTTAATTGAGACATTCACTCAACATAGTTCCTTCCTGTAGACGTTCCAGTGCTTGGGATGGAGCCCATGAACAATGCCACCAAGGGCTGTGACGAGGCTGTGGACGAGGTCACAGGGCCCTGCAGCTGCGAGGACTGCTCAGTTGTCTGTGGCCCCAAGCCCCAGCCCCCACCCCCTCCTGCTCCTTGGACAATCTTTGGCTTGGATGCCATGTATGTCATCATGTGGATCACCTACATGGCATTTTTGCTTGTGTTTTTTGGATCATTTTTTGCAGTGTGGTGCTACAGGTAAGCAGTTTTATTCATCCTCTGAAGCAGGAAGAAGAAAACTACCCAGTGGCACTTTTAGCTTTCTACTTGGCAGACGCTGGTTATTTAGAACAGGAAGCAAGTCTCTGCATTAGTAGCCTTCCGTGAATTGCTTATGTCCTGCAACTAGTAAACATTCAAAGACCTCTTCAGAAGTTTAAACATTTGAAGTTAGTTAATCACCCATTCATTAATAGAAAGGTCGTATGTGCTGAATCTAATTCAAATCTTGTTTCTCTGGTTTCTTGCATTTCTAATTAGATGTAATACAATGATCCTTTTAGATATTTGCATCTTAATTTAGGACAGTATTTTTTTTTTTTTAAATGGCTGTGATCTTTCAAAGTCAATTGCCAGGACTTTCTTCCAAGGTGTCTCTGGGTGGATTTGAACTACCGACCTTTCAGTTCGTAGTTAAGCATTTAACTGTTTGCACCACCCAGGGCCCCTAGGACAGTACTTTTTTTAAAATTTTTAACGTTTTATTTTGAAACAATTTTAGACCTAGAAAAAAAGTTTCAAAAATAGCACAGAGTTTATGCATATCCTTCACTCAGCTTCCCCAGTGTTACAACTTAAACCCATTACCATTGAGTCAATTCCAACTCATAGTGACCCTACAGGACAGAGTAGAACTGCCCCGTAGGGTTTCCAAGGAGCAGCTGGTGGATTCGAACTGCCAACCTTTTGGCTAACGGCAGCTCTTAAGCACTGTGCCACCAGGACTCACAACTTACATAACCACAGGACAATTACCAAACCAAGAGAAGGTTGTTGGTAAAACATTATTAGCTAAACCACAGACTTTATTCAGATTTCACCACTTTTTCCTCCAAGGCCCCTTTACGGTTCCAGAATCCAGTCCAGGATCCTGCATCTCATTCATTTTTTGTTTCATTAATAAGTCTTCTCCACTCTGTGACAGTTCCTCGGTTTTTCCTTTCCTTTGATGACCTTGACACTTAAAGAGTGCAGATTAGTAGGTATTTTGTAGAATGTCCCTCGGTTGGCTTCACCTGATATTTTCTCATGAGTAGATTGAGGTTGTGTGTTTTTGGCAAGAATACCCACAAGTGGCATTGTGTCCTTCTCACTGTGTCACATCAGGGGTGCATAACGTCCACATCTTATTCATGGTGATGTCAACTGTCTTAGTCATCAAGTGCTGCTATAACAGAAATACCACAAGTGGATGACTTCAACAAATTGAAGTTTATTCTCTCACAGTCTACTAGGCTAGAAGTCCAAATTCAGGGTGTCAGCTCTGGAGGAAGGTCCTTGTCAGCAATCTTCCCCTGCTCAAGGAGCTTCTCAGCGCAGGGAACCTGTGACCAAAGGACACAGTGTGCTCCTGGCACTACTTTCTTGGTGGTGTGAGGTCCACATGGTCTCTCAGCTCACTTCTTTCTTTTCCATCTCAAAAGAGGTTGACTTAAGATAGAATCCAATCTTGTAGATTGAGTCCTGCTTCGTTAACGTAACTGCTTCTAATCCTGCCTCATTAACGTCATAGAGGTAGGATTTACAGCACAGGAAAATCACATCAGCAGACAAAATGGTGGACAATCATGCAACACTGGGAATCACGGACTAGCCAAGTTGACACATATTTTTGTGAGACACAGTTCAATCCATAACATCAACTTTGATCTCTTGGTTAAGGTGGTGTCTGCTGGCTTTGTCTTCAGCAAAGTTAATGATTTTCCTTTTTGTAGTGATCAGTATCTTGGAGGAGATACTTTGAAACTATGCTAATATCCTGTTTCTCCTCAAACTTTCACACTCTGATTATAGCATCTCTTGGTGGATGTTGTCTGCAGCAGTTATTGTGATATTTGCCTGGTGGTGACATTGCATTTCCCTCATTTTTCTGCATTTACTAGTTGGACTTTTTCTGTTCAACGAGTTGTCCCTTCTCCCCCATTTATTTACTTATTCAATTATTTACATCAGCATGGACTCATGGATTTTTTTTTTTTAATTATTATTCTGTGGGTTATAGCCAGTACTGACATTTATTTTGTTACTCAGAGTATCCCAGTTTTGGTCACTGGGAGCACCTTCTGGTTGGCTTCTGAGTCTCTCTGGTATGCCCCTTTGCTTTTTGGAGCGCTTTCTAGTTTTCTGGCGTCACAGATATTCCAGACTCGTTTTCCCTGACCCAGCCCTGGAATCAACCTTTTCCACAAGGAGCCCTGATTCCTTCTGTTATTTAGAAACCACGCTCTGTACACTAGTTGTGCTCATTGCTACTGGGGAGGATGGTGTATTTTTTAAAAAACCTGTTGCCATCGAGTCGATTATGACCCATAGCGACTGTATAGGACAGAGTAGAAATGCCCCATAGGGTTTCCAAGGAGCGCCTGGTGGATTCGAACTGCCGACCTTTTGGTTCGCAGCCAAACGCTTAACCACTGTACCACCAGGGCCTAAAATTTGTAAATGAAGACTGCATGGTGAAATTACTCCTCACTAGTTTGTTGGGGCTTTTTAAAATACTTTCTTAAATCTTCTCCTAAGATTGGTGAGCAGAGGGACCCAGAGCAAGGGGTTTAGGGGAAGAAAGACAGCGATTGGGAGGAGGAAGAAAACAGAATGACGAAGTAAGCTTTGAATAGGGTAATGGGAATGACAGCATAACAGCCTCATTGTGATTAAGTCCCCTAATACTACTTACACACTTTTATTTTTCAGAAAACGGTATTTTGTCTCTGAGTACACACCTATTGACAGCAATATAGCATTTTCCGTCAATGCCAGTGACAAAGGTAAGCATGTTTGGATGATGTTGGCATGAGTGTCCATTCCCTCCTAATGTTTACGTACCTGCCGTGAGTGAGCCGGGGTGTCAGTGCTGAGGGCACAGCTGTGATCAGGACAGAGATGACCCTCCTTCTGTGGCACCAACAGTCTAGTTGGGGTGGCAGGTCAGAACCAAGTGAGCAGTAATGGTAATGACGTAGCTGTGGGCTGGATCAGAGCAGTGAAGGAGAGGACCTAGCCTGCTGAGAGCAGGAGTGGAAGGCCAGGGTTGATGGGAGGACTGCTTTAGACAGAGTAGTCCGAGAGCGTTGCTTTTCAGTGGAAGGCTTGTGTGCGAGCATTGTTCCCCTGTGGGTAGGGATGTCATTCCCTGTGGCAGGCGGGGAAGGGTGTCACTGAGCAGATGATAGCTAGGGCCAGTGAGGCTCTTGTGCATGTCCTGTGAGGGCTCGGGTGACTGCCGTCTGTAGTGGTAGCTAATGCTTTCCCTGTTCCAACTTTCAGGAATGGCTTGGCTCTTAACCTCCACCCTCCCTTCCTCTTCCGCTCTTCCAGGGGAGCCATCCTGCTGCGACCCGCTCAGTGCAGCCTTTGAGGGCTATTTGAGGCAGCTGTTCACACAGTGGGGGGCTTTCTGCGTCCGAAACCCCGGCTGCATCATCATCTTCTCCCTGGTCTTCATTGGCATGTGCTCATCGGGCCTGGTGTTTATGCGGGTCACGACCAATCCCATCGACCTCTGGTCAGCCCCTGGCAGCCAGGCGCGCTGGGAGAAGGAGTACTTTGACATGCACTTTGGGCCTTTCTTCCGCACGGAGCAGCTCATCATCCGAGCCCCCCACACTGCCAAGCACATCTACCAGCCGTACCCCTCGGGGGCCGACGTGCCTTTTGGACCTCCACTTAACATAGAGATTTTGCACCAGGTAATCTGCTATATGCAGAAATCGGTCCCAGGGAGGAGGGCAGACCTGGTTGTCTGTTGACCAGTTCTATTTGGTGTGGATTTGGGCTGAGTGTACTGGCATATTCTAAAAATCTTCAAGGTGAAAGTAAAGGTGTTTTTAACTAATTTTTCAAGAAAGTAAGTAATAGGTGCTGCACTTAATGAAAACTGTATTGTAGCCCACTTTTGTATTTCCTTCACATAGTAGTAGATCTTGCCGTTTTCTTAAGATTGAGATGAGCAGAGGAAGACTTAGGTAGCATTTCTGTATGGAAACAGTATGTTTATGAAGAATTCACCTTAGGGATTTATGAAATTTTTTTCCCTTGGTAACTGAAAATAATATGCTAGGATCCAGAGGAATGAAGCCTCTCTGCCCTCCTGGGGGCTAGGGGAGAGGCCGCTGGGCCGTCATTGATCCACGTGCAGGAGTACATGGGCGGACCACGGGCTTCCGACCGGCCTTCGAAAGAGTATGCATTTGAGATAAGATGCCAACCCACTTCTCTTAGAAAGGCATTTAAACCTTCCCATCTTCCCTTATCACACTTGCCTTGGAGAACTATACCTGTGGATAAACTACATCCCACATTGTGTTTTAACGGAATGATCACACAATAACATTTTCTTTTAAACGTTGCTCTCACCTACCAAACCCCGTTGCCGCCGAGTCAATTCTGTCTCATAGCAACCATGCAGGACAGAGTAGAACTGCCCCATAGCGTTTCCAAGGAGCCGCTGGTGGATTCAGACTGCCATCCTTTTGGTTAGCCACCAAACACTTAACCACTGTGCCACTAGGGCCCCATGCTCTCACCTGCAGAAGGTCTGGTACCTTGAAAAACAAAACAACTGTCCCAAGACTTTAATTGAATTGTTTTTCCACCCGGTAATTATCTGTTGGTTTTCCCCAAGTTGTTCAGTTTATATTCATCAAAAGTTTATCAGGCTTCCTGCTTTGTGCAGAAGATGAACAACATAGTCACCAGGAGGAGCTTATTCTCTATTAGAAAATACAGGAATATGTATCAATAACTGTACTATGTAGCGAGGCAGTAGGTAGTACCTTGGTGAAGGGGAGGGTCTGAGAATACCAGGGATCTTGCTCCATCTCCCCTCTGGCCATGTTGGTTACTGCTGGAGGCGGGGCAGGAGGGGAGAGGTCCGTGTGTCCTGTGCCGATGTCTGTCTCGTTTGTGTTTGGTACCAGATAGTGGGACCGACCCCTCCTTCCCCGCCGTCTTTCTGGATGGACGCTCCCAAGCAGAGTCTTTGTCTCAGTTTGCTGGACCCTAAGTTGGGTCCTTGGTGTCATTAGACTGTACCACAGTGCACCTTGTCCTGTACCCCACTTTAGGAAGCATTTCCCCAAATTCTTTTTATCTTTTGACCCCTCAGGGCCATCGTTAGTCAAAATCTGAAAGCACGCTGACATTTGTCTGGGTTGGTTTGTTTTTGCTTTTTTCAGGTTCTTGACTTACAGACAGCCATCGGAAACATTACTGCATCGTATAACAACAAGACTGTGACGCTTGAGGACATCTGCTTGGCCCCGCTGTCACCGTATAACAAGAACTGCACCATTCTGAGTGTGTTAAATTACTTCCAGAACAGCCATTCCATGCTGGACCACAAAACAGGGGACGAGTTCTTTGTGTACGCAGACTACCACACGCATTTTCTGTACTGTGTGCGGTAAGTGGCCAGAGACATATTTGCTTCTGGAAAATTACACTTCAAGGAGATAGTCATTCGTTTATCCTGTAGATATTTGAATACCTACTGTTTCTAAAGGTGCTAAAAACACAGCCGTGAACAGACAGATCCTACTGTCTGAAGCTGACGTTATAATGGGGGGAGACAAAGGATGAACAAGTAGATACATAATACAACATCAGGTAGAGGAGGTTGCTGTGCAGGAAGATAAAACAGGACGTGGGGATAGAAGCAGTGGAGTGTACTACTGTAGAGAGAGTGGGCAGGGAAAGGAAAGAAGGAAGCCTCTTGAGGGAAACGTGCTTCAAGCAGAATGAGCAGCAAGTACAAAGGCCCTGTGGTAGGAGTGCTCACGTGGTATCTGATGAAGGAACAGCAGGTATCTCTCAACCTTGAACCCTTGCACAGTTGATAACACACAGCTTCGTGTCCCCCACTACCCACTAAGGTTTTGTTGAGCTAGTAGAAGCCTGTAGTGCTTTTTCTTGCCTTTCAAATATAAATTTATATCATGATACCAAGTTGTTTTTAAAATGTACAGCCTCCCCTCGAAGGGCAGGGGCAGGAATTTTGCACTGGATGACCTGAAACTGCTTCCAGTAGGATGGATGTCTAACTGGGGAGGGCGGGTTTATAATTTGAATTTGCCACAAAGAGAAGCTGTGCATGGTGACTGGTGAGGTGACCTTCAGGCTTGTCCCTGGAAGCGAGAGTGGCAGTGACACAGGATTGACCTGCTGTCCAGGAACGCTCTGCTGTTTGACCTGACCTGACCTGGAGACAAGTTACTCAGCCAGTAGAACAACCACACGGTTATCGTGTCTTCAAGATGGGAACAGAGAAATTACCCCTTCCCCCTTTGAGTATGCTGCTCACCTATCCATGTCTCAGAGCTGACCCCTCTGACCCCTGTCCTATTTGGTGACCTCAGGTTCTGAGTGTTTTTGTTATTAGAATATGACCCTTGAGGCCATCAGGCTGTGTTTATTTCAAGGAAGTCACCTCTAAAAAGGTGAGCTATACCACATAAAACAGTAGGTATATATCCATGTGCCCAAAACCAGAGTTCTCAACAGGGTAGATGGTACAGGGGAGGCATGGTAAATTTGGGGGAAACATGTAATGTTTTATGATTTTTATATTCGGAGAAAATAACTATTTAGTTTCTGTTGTTTTACAAAATAAAAATTAACAGAATTTTGGGGGGGCGAGGTGTAGGAGATGGGTGTTTTATCAGAAGGGGGCATGGTTTTACTAGGTGGGAAAATGCTGCTGTAAACAACTCCTGGGCGTCAGGAGTGTGTTTTGTTCGTAGTTGTACCTGTGTGTGTCCTCCGTGACCTCAGGCCTGCCTCCAGCTCCCACCTCTGTCCTTGCCCTGCAGCCTTTTCTGGCCCTTTTCCCCAGGAGGTCCTGCAGGAACCACAACCTCAGCCCACCCCACACAAGCCTGCTTCTGCTTCTCTCCCTGCACCCCTGTCATTTACTGGCATCAGCATCTACCAGTTATTGGAACGTGCAGCTTTATCTCTGCATGATCTCGCATCCGTGATGGGGGGCAGAGTCAGGCCCTGGGCTGAGGTGAACTCGGCCCCCAGCTTCAGCCCTGCAGGCTACTTGACTGAGAGGGGTTACCTTGCCTCCAGGGACATGGCCCCATCTTCTGTCGACTCTGAAGGGTGGTTGTCCAGATTAGGTGCAAGAACCTCAGTCCTGAAACGTTGGCTCCCCCACCCACCGGTTGTCCCTCTGTCTTTCCTGCATTACTGTGGTGCTGATCCTGCTGTCTCTTGTCTGGGCCATTGCAGACCTACTGACTGGGCTCTCTGCTACTTCCTGTGTCCTTCACACTTCCAGACCCTCTGCCACTTTGCCCCCCAAGTTATGATATCCCTTCCCACAAATCTCTCAATTATTCCAGTGCCTACAGGATAAAAATTCAAACTACTTAGCATGGCATCTAAAGCTTCTTTTTCCATTGTCTCTAACCCATTCCAGAGTCAACCCCTCCCTCGGGGGTCACCCCTCCCCCCATGGGCACCCCATGCTGTGGACACAGAGGACATTTTACATTCCCCCAGCACCGTGCTCTTTCTCTCTGCACAGCGGTTCTCACTCTCCGCCTCCCCTCCCACCGTTGCAGGGGGTGGCCCACCCTGTCCTCCCTCCCTGGTGTACCTCCCTCATCCTTGGACGTCTGGTCTGCACTGATCTCTCTTTGGAGACAGTTCCCCATGTGTTCATTGCTGCCCCCTCCATGCCCCCAGAGTGCCATGCATTGTGTGACACAGATGGTGCTGTGCCGTATTTGCCAGCCTCTTGCTCAGTAAATTCTGAGCTCGCAAGTGCGTGTAGGAAACCCTGGTGGTGTAGTGGTTGAGGGCTATGGCTGCTAACCAAAAGGTCGGCAGTTCGAATCCACCAGCCACTCCTTGGAAACCCTATGAAGCAGTTCTACTCTGTCCTATAGGGTCTCTGTGAGGTGGAATTGATGGCAGTGGGTTTTATTTTAAGTGTATGTACTGAGCTGAATTATTCAACTTAGTGACCTCTGGGCCCCCATTGTGCCTAGGATATAGTAAGCCTCAAAAAGTGTTTGTTGTATAAATATTTAGGTCTCTGTGATGTCTTGAGACTTGTTCTAATGAGTAGGCATTTTCTTTCTGGCAGGGCTCCCACCTCTCTGAATGATACAAGCTTGCTCCACGATCCTTGTCTGGGTACGTTTGGTGGACCTGTGTTCCCGTGGCTTGTGTTAGGAGGCTACGATGGTAAGTAGGGAGCTTTTCCTTTTCTTATTAGATAAAGTAGTCTTGCCTCTGTCGTTCGCAGACGAATGATAATTACAGAGATTTCAGGAATGGAGCCATCTTATTAATTCCTTATGTCTTGAAACCCAAATATATCTCTTTTGGCTTTGGTTTTGGGATTTATTCTGGATTTTTTAAAAAGTGGATTCTTTGTTTCTTAACTTTTTTTAGATCACCTGGTGGTGTAGTGGTTGAGAGCTATAGCTGCTAACCAAAAAGGTTGGCAGTTCAAATCCACCAGGTGCTCCTTGGAAACCCTGTGGGGCCATTCTACTCTGTCCTCTAGGGTCACTATGAGTCAGAATTCTACTTGACAGCAACATATCTGGTTTTTTGTGTGTGTGTCTTTGAGAAGCTATTGAAAGCTAAGAACCCATTTCCCAGAGTAATGCAGGTACGCACATCCACATACTGTGCTGTTCAGTTTCAGAGCGTTCCTGGAGCCCTTGAAGTTCATCTCTGGAACCCTTGAGGGGTCCATGGACCTCAGGTTAAGAACCTCTCTAATGGGATAAAATGATACTTGTGAAGAGTGTGCTTCTTAGCTCAAGTAGATACAGGAGACTAAATGGGCAGCTTCTGTCCAGAGATGAGCTGAGAAGGCAGAGGAGGGGGTCAGGAGCTGGTTGAATGGACATGGGAAATCAGGGGTGGAAAGGGGGAGTGTGCTGTCATAGTAGAGGGAGAGCAATTAGGGTCACATAACAATGTATGTGTAAATTTTTGTATGAGAGACTAACTTGAATTGTAAACTTTCACTTAAACTACAACAACAACAAAAAGAACCTCTCTAATGGGGAAGAGGGAATATATGAGGTATGGGGAAAAGAAGCCAAGTTGATAGATTTGTTTTTTCCTCTAAACCAGTTGGTTAAAAATTCAGATGCTTTTATAGTGGAAGAATCAGTTGTTTTGCTAAAGAACTGGTCCCTGTAGCTCCTTGGGACAGATTGTACTTGGCATGTGGGGTGATAGTTCATATGACACCTTTGGCATCTGAAGCCTAATTACAGGCAGCTCAGCAGGTGCAATGAGTAAGGCCAAATAGGTCTTCTCTTCCTCCTCTGTAGGAGGGGATAAGTTGTGACCTGTATTTAAAATTTACTGTACCTCATATGGAGCTAAAAGGCCTACAGTTTGAATCCACCAGCTGCTCCTTGGAAACCCTATGGGGGCAGTTCTGCTCTGTCCTGTAGGGTTGCTATGAGTCGGAATCGACTCCACAGCAATGGCTTTGGTTTTTTTTGTTTGGTTTGGTGCCTCATATGATAAAATGGCATTTCCAGTCAGTGGGGAAAAAATAGTGTTGGCAACTGGCTAATTATATGGGAAGAAAATAGATTGGAGCTCTACCTTATTCCTTATACCAAAAAAAGAGGAAAATTCCAGATAGATCAAAGATTGAAATGTAAACGGCCATCTAAGATACTCCACTGGTCTCATCCCTTCGGGAGCAAGGGAGAATGAAGAGAACAGGATACAAGGAAAAGATTAGTCCAAAGGACTAATTGTCCACAGCTACCAAGGCCTCCACCGGACTGAGTCCAGTACAGCTAGATGGTGCCCGGCTACCACCACTGACTGCTCTGACCAGGATCACAACAGAGGGTTCTGGACAGAGCTGAAGAAGGATGTAGAGCATAATTCTAACTCACAAAAAAAAGACCAGATTTACTGGCCTAAAGGAGACTGGCAAAACCTCGAGAGTATGGCCCCCAGACACCCTTTTAGCTCAGTGATGAAGTTACCTCCGAGGTTCACTGTTCAGCCTGGGAGTGGACAGCCCTGTAAGACCAAATGAGACTAACGAGGTACAGGAGTCCAGTGACAAGGGCCAGAAGGCAGAAGGGGACAAGGAAGCTGGTGATAGGGAACACAAGGTTGAGTAAGGATATTGTTGATGTGTTGTGAGATTGTTAACCATTGTCATAGGGCAACATTCGTAGTACCTGTTAAATGAGAAACTATTTTGTTTTGTAAGCCTTCATTTTAAGTGAGAATAACAGCACAATTGGAAGAGCGTAGTCAATGTCACTGAACTGTGTATGTAGAAATTTTTGAAATGGTGTATCTTTGGCTATGTGTATTTCACCAAAAAAAAAAAAGGTTGAGAATTTAGAGGGTTAATATGTTGTGGGGTTGTTAACCAATGTCATAAAACAACATGTGTACTACTGTTTCATGAGAAACTATTTGTTCTGAAAGCCTTCACCTGAAGTATAATAAAATATAAAAAATAAAAAAATAAAAAAATTGAAATGTAAGAAGTAAAACCATTAAATAGCTAGAAGAAAACACAGGAAGATTTTTTTAATCTTAAAATGGAGAAGACATTTCCAAACAAAACACAAAACCCAGAAGCCAAAAGGAAGGACTGACAAATTTGACTACATAAAAATTTAAAATTCCTGCATGGAGGAAAAAAATCATAAAATCAAACAACAAATGACAAATTGCGGGGGGAAGCATTATTAGAAAGGACAGACATTTTCTTTTTTAATTTCATTTTATTGTACTTTAAGTGAAAGTTTACAATTCAAGTTAGTCTCTCATACAAAAATTTATATATACATTGTTATGTGACCCTAGTTGCTCTCCCTATTCTGTGACAGCACACTCTTCCTGTCCACCCCAGATTTCCCGTGTCTTTTCAACCAACTCCTGATCCTCTCTGCTTTCTCATCTCAACTCCGGACAGGAGCTGCCCATTTAGTCTCCTGTATCTACTTCAGCTAAGAAGCACACTCTTCATGAGTATCATTTTATGTTCCATAGTCCAGGACAGACATTTTCTTAATCCAAAATAAAAATGGGTAAGGAAATATAAAAGTTATTAAAAGAAGAAATAACAAATGTCTTTTAATTATACGGGGAAAATGCTCAACTGGCAAAGATCTAAGAGTCTGATAAAATCCTGCAAGTGTCTGTGACAGTGTGGGGAACCTCTCCATCACTGGTGGAGGGTAAATTGGTTACTACAGTGTCGGCACCAGGAAGGCAGGGATTGTTCTCTCTTCTGTTACTCACTGATGTATCCCTGGTGCCTAAAATAATGCCTGGCACAATAAATACTTTATCAAATAAAGGAATTCAAAATGCTACAGCCTCTTTGGATGACACTTTGGGAAAGTTTATCAACATGAGAAATATATATACTTTTTGATTCAGTGATTATACTGGTAAGAATTTATTCTACAAATATGTACTTCACATATTTAAAAAATATTTGTAAGGTTATTCTCTGTAGTTTTGTTTTTTATAACAAAAAAAAAAAAAGAGCAAACAATGTCCATGAAGTGGAAATTGGTTAACTTTTACTAGAAAATATTATACAGCAGAAAAAGAATAAGGAGTCTCCTTATATACTAAAATGGAATGGTTTCCATGACACAGAATTTTAGAATGTAAGGTGTGGAACAGTATGTTACTATCTGTGTAAAAAAGGAGGACGGGGAAGAATGAATACACGTGTTTGCCGATGTGTGCATGTTTGCTGATGTGTGCATGGAGTATCTGTGGAAAGATGCCAGATGATCACTGTGGAAGGAGAACGATGGGAATTAAAGGGGATTTGGAAAGGAGAGAGACTTTTCACCGAATACTTTTCTGCTTGGTTTGTAATTTTTTAGCATGCACATACTATGTAGTAAAAAAAGAAAATTTTTTTTAAAAAGATATTCTTCCTGAATTATAACTTTTCCTACCTCAGATAGAGAATCCTCTTCCTTCACTAACTGAACTACACACAGGCTGTTTCCGTCAACTCCTTTTCATCCTTGGAGCTCAGGGAGTGGCATCAGCAGCCATGTGACCACCTTCCCTCGCATTTATCCAGTTTTCTGCACGCTTGTAACCTTCTTGTTGATGTCACACTTTTCCTTTCTAGAACAAAACTACAATAATGCCACTGCCCTCGTGATTACCTTTCCTGTCAGTAATTACTACAACGACACAGAGAAGCTGCAGAGGGCCCAGGCCTGGGAAAGAGAGTGAGTTGCCGACAGGGGTCTAACAAACGGCCCTTCCTTTGCTGGAAGCTGGACACTTGTGGCGAGCACTTACTTGGCTCTACAAAGTTAACCAACCTCAGATCTAAGTGATAATCATTTTTCATTGACATCTGTAAACAAAGTGATCTATAAGCTGATTGTTTAAACCAATATTCCTGCACAAGAATGCTGAAGTCTATGTATAAAAATATTCTTGAAGTGTTTTCTAAAGGCAAAAACTAGGAGCAAGCTGGGTGCGCATTAGCGAGGGAGAAGTTAAATTAAGTATATCATGGTTGTACAAAAGAATATTACGCAGCAGTTAAAGTGAGGAGGAAGCCCTGGTGGTGCAGTGGTTAGTGTTCGGCTGCTAACCAGAAGGTCAGCGGTTCAAACCCACCAGCTGTTCCACAGGAGAAAGATGTGGTGGTCTGCTTCCATAAAGATTTACAGCCTTGGAAACACTATGGAGCAGTTCTACTCTGTCCTTTAGGGTAACTAGGAGTTGGAATCAACTCGACCACAGCAGGTTAAAGTGAGGTAGAGAAGTAGTCCAAGATGTATTAAATAAAAATTTGGATCGACATGTTTAGGTAAATACATGCTACGCATGCTGTCCTTGCGTAAGAAAAATATCACGCGTATGACCCGGGAACTTAACCATGGTTGTTGCCTTTAGAGAATGGGAAGAGGGGACTAAGGAGGAAGGGGGCCTTTTACTCTTCACTTTATGCCTTTCGGTTCTTTTTACATTTTGTTCTGCGAGCAAGGTATATTATTTATTATAATTTACTTCATTTGAAAATCTTTTCTGACAAAAGTAAATAGAGAAAATGTGGGCCGATTTACTGTGGTGAAATACAAATAATGAGACATTTACCGTTTTGACCATTTCTACGTGTACAGTTCAATAATGTTAATTATGTTCACCATGTTGTGCCACCATCAGAGCCAGCACTTAAACTTGTCCTAGACCTGCTCTAACAGTAGAAAATTCCACATGTCTGGAACTGTGGCGTAATCTGGTCTCTGTGTAGAAGACCCTGATACGCGACAAAGGTTAAGTAAGCGTGACCTTTGTGTTATTGAAGTTGGGAAGACATTTCTTACTTAGCTGTCACGAAGTTTTCACTGAAAATACAAAATTATGCTTCCTCTTTAGGTTTATTAACTTTGTGAAAAGTTATGAGAACCCAAATCTGACCATTTCTTTCACTGCGGAACGAAGTATTGAAGATGAGGTAACCCGTGAAAGCAACAGCGATGTCTTCACCATTGTCATTAGCTATGCTGTCATGTTTTTATACATTTCCATTGCCTTGGGGCACATCAAAAGCTGTAACAGACTTCTGGTAAGTGGAGTGTGTCTGTGGGTTAGAGAGAAATGGCATTGCACGGCATATCATATTTTTGCCCTGGTGTTGTTAGGTGTCGTTGAGTCGGTTCCGACTCATAGCGATCCTGCATACAACAGAACAAAACACTAGTTGGTCATGCGCCATCCTCACAATTGTTGCTATGCTTGAGCCCATCGTTGCAGCCACTGTGTCAATCCCTACTTATTTTGCCCCTCCTTAGTCCCAATTCATGATGTTCCAAACTGCATTAAATGCCCCTGTGTTTTACTTACATGCAGCATCTCTGTTTCGTGCATCTGTTTTCTTCAGTTCCAGTGTTTTGGTTTATCTTAAACTAACATTTATATCACATAATCCAGCTTTTTCTAATTTGTCCACTTGATCACATAAGAACGTGAGCTCATAAAACACATTGCTGGGAAACCTGGAAGTGTTTCATGTCTTCTCTAGAACGAGAATTGTACTTTTTACTGTAGATTGGATAAAAGTAAAGAAGTAAAACTGAGCCCCTTTCAGTGCAGCGTGTAGGGCTCTAAACGATGCCCCGTGTCTGCATTGCACCTCCCAGGTGGACTCGAAGATCTCCCTGGGCATCGCGGGCATCCTGATTGTGCTGAGCTCGGTGGCCTGCTCCTTGGGCATCTTCAGCTACATCGGGATCCCTCTCACCCTCATTGTGATCGAAGTCATCCCGTTCCTGGTGCTGGCTGTGGGGGTAGACAACATCTTCATCCTGGTGCAGACCTACCAGGTGTGTTTACATGTCCCCACAGCCCTGGCCATCTGTCCAAGCCCCGGGGTCTGTCACCAGCTGTTTGCCTCCAGGCATAGTATTTGTGAGTATGGAAATGAAGAGGCTTTCTTTCCTCCCTCCCCTTCCTGGATTTTCAGAAGACTAGTATCCTTGTTCTGAGCATTTTGGGACCAAGAGTTTCACCCCTTTCTTTGGTTGGTGGACTAGATACAAAGTGAGAATTTGGTTTTTAAATAGTATCTTTTTCCCACCTGTGCAAGAAGGGCGAACAGCTTTTGGAAAATATTTTGGGTATAACCGCTATTAAAATGACTCTCGACATAGTGTAGAAGAATTACACATTTGTTCAAAGGTGCTACTAAAAAGAAAAGGTCAAGACAAGGCCTTCTGTTGTAGACAATGGTCTTGACCAATTGGTTCTCTCATGGTCCCCTTGTCTGTAGCCCATAGCCTGAGTGAAGACTAGGTGGCATGGCCCAGGGTCATTGAATGATCTAGCTACTTGCAGCCTGTGTGCCATGCATTTTTCTGATAATGTGATCCTGTCTTTCCTTGAGTTTGTCAACAGTTGTCTAGCTCAGGAGTGCAGGAATACTCTGAATGAATTAATGTGAGAACTTTGGGGTCCCCCACCAAAGTTTATATGCGTATAAGCATATACTATAAGCAGATGCTACTAATCATTTTTCTCTACTGTTATCACATGACATGGTTATTTAGAGAACTTTAATGTTGCAAATTTAATGTATTTTTGTTTGATTTTTTAGAGAGATGAACGTCGTCAAGGGGAAACACTGGATCAGCAAGTGGGCAGGGTCCTGGGGGAAGTGGCTCCTAGTATGTTCCTGTCATCCTTTTCAGAGACGGTAGTGTTTTTCTTAGGTAATTACTCTTTGAATTTTACCAGTCCTGTAGTCGGCGGAGCATGGGAAAAGAGGGAGGAGCTAGTTGCTTGAATATGCCCTTTGGGTTGCATCCTTCTCTGAGGTTATTCTGTAATCGGAAGGTGTCACTTGGTGGGCCACAGGAAAAGTTGGAGGTGGTGTCTTGGGTATCACTTTGCGCATGTCTTTCTCAAGTTAAATTTCAGGATGGTGTTGATGTTGGAGTTTAAGATGTCAGACACGTAGAGCTCATCTTGCTACTCCCTTCTTTTGACACTCATGGCAAATGTTGCCATTTGGAAATGGCATTCTTGTGTAGCCACAGAATCTTCCTCAACACACTACTGGAAGCAGCAACTTTCAAATCCATAGACATTGGATTGCAAGTGAAACCTCCTTGCCATTATTCTCATAGCCAGTCTTCCTCCTCTGTCCACACATTAATGAGCAAAACCAAAAACCCATTGCCACTGAGTTGATTCCGACCCATAGCAACTCTATAGGACAGACTAGAACTGCCCCATAGAGTTTCCAAGGAGTGGCTGGTGGATTCGAACTGCCAACCTTTTGGTTAGCAGCCAAACTTAACCACTACACCACCAGGGCTCCCATTAATGAGCAGAGGTCCTTAAATCTTACTTCAATACAAGGAGCCAGAGTAAAGGCAAGTGTGGGGAGGGGGAGCTCAGCACTTCGGTTCTTCTTGCACACGAGAAATCGCTAGGTAGACTTGTGAGTGTGTTGTCTGCCCCATTTCTGAAGGGTAGTGAGGAGGAGGCTGGATGGAGTCACTTAAGTCCGAAGATTGCAGCCTGTGACTCTCCAGCTGAAATGCCTGCACGGACACCAGGTCATCTGACACAGGGCCATCATAGGTGGTGTCTTCAACGCAGACACACCGTTAACAGATTATTCTTCATTTCCACAAAGCAACGTGCTTTTTGAAACCTGTGACCATTATAGTCCTTTTGGTGGCCACATAGGTGCAAAAAAAATCTTTTTACCTCTATTGTATGTTAAGGTGTCTGACTTCGGATCAGAGGGTTAAGGGTTTCGTGTCCCTTCTCGGTCACTTCCTTAGGAGCCTGATGGTGCAGTGGTTAAGCGCTTGGCTATTAACTGAAAGGTTGGCAGTTCGAACCCACCCAGCGGCTCTCTGAGAAAAAAGACCTAGCCGTCTGCTCCCGTAACAGTTACAGTCTAGAAAACTCTACGGGGCAGCTCTACTTTGTCACATGGGGTCCCAGTGAGTTAGTATCCACTCGACAGTACCTGATGACAACAACAGCAATTATAAGAAGACCAACGCAAGTGTGATGGTAAATCGCAGTACACACTCTGCTTCAGGGTGGGGTGACTCTGGGGTGACAAGTAGCAGCGGTGGGTACTGTGGCACCTAGAACCTGTGTGTCCCTTCTAAAACTGGCAGGGACTGTTGCTGGCTCAGTGCTGCTGGGGCTGATTGTTTTTTAAGTGAAGCTGTAAATCTAGATTTTTGTGTACAGTCTCATTTTAAAATATTGGCTACTTAGTTTTTAAAAAAAATTTTTTTAATCTTAAAATAGGTCAGTTCAGTGTGGGCCAAACAGTCTGGCCCATGGGCTGCCAGCTTGCAGTTTCTGAGTCTTACCCTAATGCGTTTGACTTGGAACCCCTCATTGTAACTACAGCAAGAGACTAATGTTGATAGAAAATGATGTCCCTCTCTAAATGAAGGGTAGAAGGTACTATAAAAAATGACCTAAATGAAAACTAAAGACACAAGGAAAACAATGGCCCAAAAGACTGAAGGCCCACATGAACCACAGCCTCCACCAGCCTGAGCCCAGAAGAACTAGATGGTGCCCGGCTGCCCCTACTGACTGCTCTGAACAGTGATCACAATAGAGAGTCCCAGATAAGAGCAGGAGAAAAATGTAGAACAAAATTCAAATTCACAAAAAAAGACCAGACTTACTGATCTGATAGAGACTGGAGGAACCCCGAGATTATGGCCCCGGACACCCTGCTAACTCAGAACTGAAACCACTTCCGAAGCCCACTTTTCAGACAAACATTAGACAGGCCTATAAAACAATAACACACCTGAGGAATGTGCTTTGGAGTTCAGTCAAATATACGAGACCAGATCGGCAACTCCTGCCCAAGAGCAAAAAAGAGAAGGCAGGAAGGGACAGGAAAACTGGACAAATGGACATGGGGAACCCAGGGTGGAAAGAGGGAGCGTGCGGTCACATCATGGGGATTGCAACCAATGTCACAAAACAATATGTGTATAACTTTTTAGTGAGAAACTTTCACCTAAACCACAATAAAATCTAAATAAATTTTTAAAAAATGGCCTATACCAATGGTTCTCAAATTATAATGTGTCTAAATTTGCCTACAGAGCCTTTTAAATACAGTAGAATTGGAGTTGAATTCTCATTGTGTTGTGATTCAGTAGGACAGGGCTGGAACCCGGGAACCTGCATTTTTAACAGCTCCCTGGTAGTTCTGGTGCTGTTCCCATTTTGAAAAACAGGCCTTATAGGCTCTTCTCTTGGTTCTGGATTGATATCCACATAGACTTGTGCAGCACATCTTTGTGGGGAGCAAGGGTCTTAGGGGTTGACCTCTCTGGCTCCTGTTTTCATATGTATGAAGTGTACACGTGATTGTAAGATGTGCATGGAGTCCTCTGCTGTAGATGGTGGCGATACAGCAGCTTTTCTCTGCCTTGTAGGAGGCTTGTCAGTGATGCCAGCCGTTCATACTTTCTCTCTGTTTGCGGGAATGGCCATCTTCATCGACTTCCTCCTTCAGATTACGTGTTTTGTGAGTCTCTTGGGCTTAGACATTAAGCGTCAAGAGGTAAGTTGTTATCAGGATTGTAATCTATTTAATTGAGTCTAGAAATCTAGATGAAGCAGGCAGAGGGTCTTTTCTGTGACCTTGTGACTCTGTGTCCCTTCAGAAAAATCGGCTAGACATCCTTTGCTGTGTGAGAGGTGCTGACGATGGAACAAGTGTCCAAGCCTCTGAGAGCTGCTTGTTTCAATTCTTTAAAAACTCCTATTCCCCACTTCTGCTTAAGGACTGGATGCGGCCGATTGTGGTATGAGCACATTTGTGGTTTTTCTCTTTCTTCTCCCCAAAGCAGATTTGTCACATGCCTTCTAAGAAATCAGACAGCTTGGGAAGGTGCTTCTGACAGCTGTTAAATACATATACAAAAATACAAAAACAGGTTGAAATGTATAAAATGTTTTTCTAGCTAGTTTTTATCAGTCGGAGATATTAACTTTTTATTTGAAATAATTATAGATTCACAAACCAAAAAACCAAACCGGCTGGTGTTGAGTCGATTCCGACTCGTAGCGACCCTATAGGACAGAGCAGAGCTGCCCCATAGAGTTTCCAAGGAGCACCTGGTGGATTCGAACTGCCGACCCGTTGGTTAGCAGCCGTAGTACTTAACCACTACGCCACCAGGGTTTCCATAGATTCACAGGAAGTTGCAAAAGTAGTGCAAAGAGGACTAGCTAGCCTTCTCCCAGTCTCGCCAATGGCTGCATCCTACATAATTACAGTACAGGATCAAAACTAGGAATTTGACTTTGGTACAATGTGTACATATAGTTCTGTGTCATCTTTATCACATGTGTAGACTCCTATAACCACCACTGCAGTTGATACAGAACTATTCCGTCACCACCATGATCTCCTTTCTGCCACCCCTTTATAGTATTACCCTCCCTCATCCCTAATCCCTGGCAACCACGGAAGAGCCTTTTAGGGTTTGGTATTACTGAATGTAGCCAACAGCAATGACCTATCACCTCTCTACTGAAAACATAAATTCGTTTCTAATAATAGTAAAAGTAATAGTAATATATAACATTTATTGGACACATAGTATCTGTTGGGTACTGTGCTAAAATCTGGATTTTCTTATTTAATTCACACAGCTGTCTGGTACAATAAGTCTCTTGTTTTTCCTGTTTTACTGATAAGGGAATAGAGGCTAAGAGAGTTTAGGTGACTTGCCCAGGGTCACTCAGCTAGTAAGTGGCAGAGCCAGGATTTGAACCCAGGAAGTTTGACTGTAGATACTGTGACCTCAGCCACTACTTCATACTCCATTTTTTCTTTGCATAACATTTAAACTTGCTTTTCAGTTTAGCAAAGTCCTAGGGTTTTTTTGTATTTAAGATTTTGTTTATGTTCTTAAATTCATTATGACACTAAGCAGTCTCTGTCTCATAACCCCCTTTTCATTCCAGGTAGCGATTTTTGTGGGGGTCCTGTCATTCAGCATCGCAGTGCTGAACAAAGTAGACATTGGATTGAATCAGTCTCTTTCAATGCCAGATGTAAGGTGCTTTCTATTTTATTTTAACTTGTTTAGCTGATGCTGAGTACATTTTTTAAAGCATGCATGCAGGTGTTTCAAGCTAACGCCTACTTCTAAACGCAAGTGCCAGCAGAGTCTCCAGGGTGATGGGAGCTACCGCCAGGCTCTGTACACGCAGCCGCCTTGGAATTCTGGACTCTCAGGCAGCCCCTGGGCACAACCATGGACTCTGAGCGGCCTGCCGGTTGGCTTATGAGATGCCCTTCTGATGGTGGGACCACAGGAGGCTCACGCTGGGGCCCCAGCGCAGACTGGCTGTGGAGGAAGTCAAGTATCTGGGCTGAAGGGGTCTCGGCCAGTAGCCTCCACTGCCCACCCCATGCTTCATGATAATCAGCTGGCTTAGTTACTGTCAGAACTTTAGCGTTACTTTTTTCTTTTCCTTACTCTTTCTCTAGGACTCCTACGTATTGGATTACTTCAAGTCCCTCAACCGGTACCTCCACGCGGGGCCTCCTGTGTACTTTGTCCTGGAGGAAGGGCATGACTATACGTCCCTGAGAGGACAGAACATGGTGTGCGGTGGCACGGGGTGCAACAACGATTCCCTAGTCCAGCAGTTATTTAACGCGGCCGAGCTGGACAGCTAGTGAGTGCCACCGTCCTCTCGGACCACAGCTGGTGCTCTCCGCCCAGGAGTCCACGCAGGCCCGAAGCTTCCCACTGCAGATAGATTTTCTTAGAAAAATTGGCTTCATTCAAAACGTATGTTAAATCTTGACTTTACCTGAACAAAACCCCTTGAAGGACTAGTTTACTACTTGATACTTTGAATTCTATTAGGTATTAATGTGGTTTTTTTTTTTTTTAATTTGACTGGGTAGTGGTATAAAATGTAGAAGAGGAAGTGATGTTTCAAGAACAAGCAGCGAAACTGAAGACGTCCCCGCTGTGGGGCGTGTCAGTACATTTTATCTCCTTTTCTCTAGCACCCGAATAGGCTTTGCTCCCTCGTCCTGGATTGATGATTATTTCGATTGGGTTAAGCCTCAGTCATCTTGCTGTAGAGTCTCCAATATCACAAATCAGTTCTGCAATGCTTCAGGTACTTTCTCTCCTTTGCTAAATCTTTCCTTTTTTTTTTATCAGAAGTTTAAGATTATAATTTAAAAATCATTTGCCTTTTACCTCAGTGTTTACCTATTTAGTTGCCAGCGCTGGGTCCTAATCCCTTTGTCATCATCCCTTTCCTTAATGGCTCACTCTGTGAAAGATGTTTGCGTTGTTCCTGTCCCAGACAGCCACACCTGCTGAGCTGCAGGCCGACCCATCGTTCCACGTATGGGGACTCTGGTCTTCAGAGAAGGCTTCTGATTTTTCTGACTACGCCGACGGCCTCTCTTGATTGGTTTCTCACCTTAGCCCTCCCATAGGGTTTCTTTCCTTTTATTTTTTTATTTTTTATCACTGTTGCCCTATGTTTTGTTAGAATGTTGAGGTTTTTACTGGAACTTCCTCAGTAAAAATATGGAAACCTTGGGCTCTGACAGTACCAGTCGTGGTTGTCACACAGTCTGCCTGAGATGAAATCAGCATCTCACATATACTAGACTGTGACAGGCATGTGGGGCTGAAGCCTTTGGATAAGGGAAAAGTTTCAGGAAAATATTTTCTCTCATTTTGTTATCAGTATTTTAAGATGTTGTTAAGTGACTCACCAAAAAAAAAAAAAGACCAGACTTACTGGTCTGGAGAAACCCTGAGAGTATGGCCTCCGGACACCCTTATAGCTCAGTACTGAAGTCACTCCTGAGGTTCACCCTTCAGCCAAAGATTCGACAGGCCCATAAAACAAAATGAGACTAAAAGGGCACACCAGCCCAGGGGCAAGGATGAGAAGGCAGGAGGGGACAGGAAAGCTGGTAATGGGGAACCTAAGGTCGAGAAGGGAGAGAGTGTTGACACATTGTGGGGTTGGCAACCAATGTCACAAAACAATGTGTATTAATTGTTTAATGGGAAGCTAGTTTGCTCTGTAAACCTTCAGCTAAAGTACAATAAAAAATAAATAAAATGTTAAGTGAAATCTAGAGACCCATTCTTCTGACCAGTGGCTCCCCCCTCTGTGTTTCCGTCAGTGATCGACCCTGCCTGCGTGCGCTGCCGGCCACTCACCCCAGAGGGCAGACAGCGGCCCCAGGGTAAAGACTTCATGAAATTCCTGCCTATGTTCCTTTCTGACAACCCCAACCCCAAGTGCGGCAAAGGGTAAGTGACACTTAGCGTTTCAGATACACGACCACTTCAGCTTTAATTTGTAATAGAAAACTAGGCCAGGAGAGGATTGAGGTAAAAAGCAACTGTATGGGAAAGATGTCCTTTTGTCCCCACCCCACCCTGCCCCAATCCTTCTGGGAAAGTAGAGAAACCTAAGATTACTTTTCAAGAAAACTCCTCATAGTTTTCAACTGATTTCAGCCTCGCTTGAGCATCCATTTCTTATGCTTCCCTCTGAGTCCTGAATGTATGAGTGGATGTAGATTCCTGGGGGGCAGGGGAGGGTTGAGGTGAGCACACTGCTATTTAGGATATGAAAGACCTCAGTCCATTAAATTATGTCAGTGGGCATATGAGAGAGCATGTTGCCTTGGTTATGTCATCCTAGGTTAAGGCTTAGATTGTCTAGCCCCATCCATGCTCCTTGGCAGCCTGTCCAGATACGTGAGGTGATGGGCTGTCTTGTTCCCCCGTCCAGCCCTGGCAGCCAGTTATCCCTGGGACCAGGATATCCTGGCATAAAAATAGTGATGGTGACTGGAAGTCTTGGGGGGTCCATCTGGAAGCTTTTGTAGGAGGGAGACGAGTATCGACCTGTACATTAGGTTAACCCTGGACGTGCCTGGTTTTCATAAGAACACATGCTTGACCAGAGCCACAGCAGTTAATCATTTATATCACGTTTCTTTTGGAGACCTGTACTAGGTACCATGGGAAGATGAGCCCTATAAATAAAATAAAAATGAGTCCTGCAACTTGGTTTGCTTGCAGACTTGAATCCTTTGGCCTATATGAAACAAGGAAGAGTCCACATAAGAGCTTCTCTGACCTTTGTAGCCCGTGTCAGAGTGGCATTGTTTTTTATGAAGGCAATAGCCATCTTTTATGGAGAGTCTCTATGGGTCAGTATGGGGCCAGGCACCTCACTGACATTATTTAATCATCCCAACAGCCCTGTGAGTCAGTGGTATTACACCCGTTTACAGAAGAGGAAGCTGAAGCTCAGATTATGTAACTTTGCCCAGGATTACATGGTCCATAAGCATCAGGGCTGAGACCGACCCAAGGCTGTTTGAGTTCAGGGCCGTTGCTCTTTCTTGCCTCCTATTACGCACGTTACTGAGCAAACTCCGTGTGAAAACACATGTGGTTGCAAGCCCAGGTAGGTACTGAAACAACAGCTGCTAAGCAGAGCTTGTGCCTCGTTAAGTTGTACTTTGGTAGATATTCAAAAGTGAACGCACACACACAACAGAAACCAAAAGCAATAAAAGAAGAGCTAGTCTAGGAGAGAATAAGTGAAAACCTCCATGGTTCCCTTGTCAGCAGGCCTTCTCTGTCCCTTAGATTTATAGCGGAGTCTGTGATTTCACTTAGTCTTCAGAGTTTGTATCCTACAGATCTTTTGCACGGCTTGGCTTTCTGACCCCCAGTGACTCTTCTCTCAGGGGACATGCTGCGTACAGTTCAGCAGTTAATATCCTTGGCAATAACACTAGTGTCGGAGCGACATATTTCATGACCTACCACACTGTGCTTCAGACCTCTGCTGACTTCATCGATGCCATGAAGAAAGCCCGACTGGTAGCCAGCAACATCACTAAAACCATGGGCATTAACGGAAGTAATTACCGTGTGTTCCCATACAGGTAAAGTGGGCTTTATGAATGAAAGCTTACTAGGGAAGGGCCCATACTTGGGGGTCTCCCTTGGCAGGATGATGGTAACTCTGCTCCCATGGCCTAGGTTTTGACTCTGGTGCCTGCACCGTCTTGAGCACAGGCAGATTATATCAGGGGAATTTGCTAGCTGGGCAGGGAGGGTCCTCATCTTGAACACTGAGATCTGAGTGCTGGAGACACGAAACAATCTCTGTGTGTTGGGCCTCACAATCTGAAAGAGACATACCACAAATTAGCACCAAGGAGGGAGAGGCTAGTTCTGGGGGCGGGGGGCACCTGGGGACCAGGCAAGGCTTCACAGAGAGGGGCAGGCTGATGTTCCTGGCCAGTAACTGACTGGCATCCCTGGCAAATGATAACTTGGACTGTGCCTTTATCTAGACTTTTGTTTTTCATTTATTGGGTTTTTTTCCCCCATAAGAAAAGTATTACATATGAAATAATGAATTTAGAAAACAAAGAAGAAACAAGTGATTTTTTTTTTTTTCCTCCACCTCCACGATCTGGCTTAAAGGCATCCATTCTTGGACAGGAGGTAGTTGTCAGAGTGGGTGTCCAATTCCTGGGAAGAGCTGGTTAACTTTGCAAAAAAAGCATTGTCTCCTCAGGTCCTACACAGACCCCATGTGGCCCGACGTAGTTCTCAGGATAAATCAGGACTTGTTTTTTCAAAATACCATGGAGTCTTCTTTATAAATGTCTATACAGTAGCATAGACTGGGCTTATGAACATAACTTCATATAAAATACACGATTTTGAATCATTCTTAGGCCCTTCTATAGGTGTTTAGTAGCCGTTGAAGATCCAGTTGAATTACCTTAGGCGAGTCTTCACCCAGGCAGGTTTTCTGCAAGGATGTGTCAGCGTAGTTTCACAGTTTTGCTGTAGTAGCAGGATCAAAAGTAGAGCTTCCAGAAGTGATTATGAGCTTTCATGGCATTTTGCTGCCCTCCTTTCCACAGTGTGTTTTATGTCTTCTACGAGCAGTACCTGACCATTATTGATGACACTATCTTTAACCTCGGTGTGTCCTTGGGAGCGATATTTTTGGTGACCTTTGTTCTCCTGGGCTGCGAGCTGTGGTCTGCAGTGATCATGTGCATCACCGTCGCCATGATCCTGGTCAACATGTTTGGGGTCATGTGGCTGTGGGGCATCAGCTTGAATGCTGTGTCCTTGGTCAACTTGGTTATGGTGAGTCCTGTTCCACTCTCAACTTGTCCCTGACTCCTGTGTCATTTATGTGAATTGTTTCGTAGATTCTCTATAAACTTCAGAATGGGTAGAAAATCAAGTCAGGCACACTTTTGGCACACACGGACAGGTGGGACAAGCACTAGATGGAGTTGGGATTTGGTGGGGTGTGAGTCGGAATCGACTCGACAGCAATGGGTCTTTTGGTTTTTATCTGGGAGCAGACACACATCAGAGTTACTTTGTTAAGCTCAGTTTTTTTCTCTTTATCCCTTTACTTGCAGCTAGAGTAGTATGGTTCCCAGTGAATGTAACAATGGACATGTGACTTCATGGTCTAGCTTGGGCATTCTGCCTTTATTATTCTGAAGGGCTTGCTAAAGCAGGTAGCCTTAGGACAGCAAGGTGTTCACTTTTTACTTAGAAAAATGGCCCCACTCCCTGGGCTCCCTGACCAGTACTTTTGCCTCCCATGCAGTTGGCCAGATGCTTCTTAATGGGATTAAAGTCTTGAAGTTGTGAGCATTAGAGGTATTATTGGAAAACAGGAAACAGTGCATATGTGCTTTCAGATATTAACACTGCCTCGGTGGAGTGGCAGTGAGGCCAGCTAGAGAAATGACAGTGTGCTTTTTGGTGTGGGCTGGGGAATCTTAAGGGGTTTCCACACAGATATGTTGTAGAAAACTGGAGCCCCAGGCTCTGTTTGGAAGCTTCCAAAAGCTGCCTGGTGCAGTTTAAATTGGGGTGATGAGAACTTTGGATTATAAATCCGAGAGGGTGATCAGGTACCACCCTGATCTACCACCCAAGGTGCCCTGGTAACCCACACCCTGGGAAAGGCTGCTGAGGACCTACAGCTGAAAAAGAACAGCCATAAATTAGGTGCTTTCTTGCAGAGCTGTGGCATCTCCGTGGAGTTCTGCAGCCACATCACGAGGGCGTTCACCGTGAGCACCAAGGGCAGCCGCGTGGGTCGCGCGGAGGAAGCACTCTCACACATGGGCAGCTCTGTGAGTACCTGGGTAGGACGGCTTGGGCAGCAAGGCTGGCCGGCCACACACGGTGCCCAGCTGAAGGGCCGAGTGTTTCTCAGAAGACAGTTTAAAACTCAGTAGTTAAAACAGAATTTGGATCCTCAAATTAGAAAGCAGCTCCTGAGGATTTCAAGTTTTCAGGCCAGTCATGAAACGGCGGCATCGTGTACAGACCTGAATTCTCTACAAAGACTCGTGAGAGTTTTCTTTAGGAGGCAATATGGCTGAAGCAAGAAGGTAACAGAAGTTAGATGTGAGAGAACTGGAAGTCTTTTTCTATTTAAAATACAGGCCACTAATATGTGTTAAATCAGCAAGGAGCTATACAGAGTTCCAGAACCCAACATGCAAATTGAAGGTGATGTCTGGAGTATCTTCTTGCTTCGACTCTTTGTCTTGGTTTTAGCCTGTCGGTTAGGATATCAAGTCTCAAGTGTTGTGTTACCATTATCAAAAGTATTGTTAGAGTAACAACTAAAACTTCGTTTCACAGTATTACCTCAATTTAGAGTCAGAAGACAATATCATATATGCAGAATACTCAGCTCTTTTACTCTTTATAATGTTTATTTTGATATCTATACCTATATTAATACCCCAGTACTTTGGATCTTGAGTATTAAGAAATGCCTATGTGAGGAAATGTTCCAGTTCTAAGTGGCTGTAAAAGTGGTTTCTAACACTGTATCTTTTCTTTTAGGTATTCAGTGGAATCACACTAACAAAATTTGGAGGGATTGTGGTGTTGGCCTTTGCCAAATCTCAAATTTTCCAGATATTTTACTTCAGGATGTATTTAGCTATGGTCTTACTGGGAGTCACTCATGGATTAGTATTTCTTCCTGTCTTACTCAGTTATGTAGGTAAGAGTTCTCATTTGTGAAAGGGTGGAAGCATGTTAATGAAGGAAAATGATGGTACCTTGAAGCATTCTTTTAAACGTACTAATGGTCATGTGATAAGTGTAAAAAATTCCATCCCAAAAGAAAGAAAACTGTCCAGGGCTTCGTGCTTGTCCAAAGTACTTCATTTTCCTAAATGGCTAACACTGTTTCTGGAGGCCTGACTAGGCTGCTTCACAGGGCCCCTAAGTCAGACCTCAAGTGAGTTCTAAGGTCAGCAGGCTGGGGCAGCGACTCCCTGCTGTTGAGAGAGGATGGACAGCATAAACCAGGCTGGGTCCTCACACTCCAGCAGCGCTGTCTAGCAGCTCGTGTTTCCCTTACTGACGTACTGTTCTTAGCAGAGCTGCCTCTCCACTACTCATCTCTTACTTGCAGACAATCCTTCTGTTCTTTTCACTTCTGTGGCCACGCCAACTTGCATAAATGACCCAGGGTTGACTTACAGAGCTTTTTAACTAAGTGGAAGCACTGAAATGGTAGGTTGATAAAATGAGGCTTTTTTAAAAATCTCTGGGGAATAGAAACTGGTTCTATTACAAACCAGTACAGATTATCTCCTTTCCTCCTGAAGAAATGACACAAGGATTATTCTTCTCATCCCTCATAGGACCATCAATAAATAAAGCCAAAAGTAGCGCCACTCAAGAGCGATACAGAGGCACAGAGCGGGAGCGACTCCTCAATTTCTAGCCCTCTCCGAGGGCTCGGTGACTTTGCCGTGTCTAAGGGTCGGTCAGTTTACCACTGGACAGTAGCCGCAGGGCAGAGGCGAAGTGAACCCTGGATGTTACCGAACATCAGGCTGTTCCACAGCAGCAGCTCCAGACATAGCGCTTTTAATCTCAGGAATGCAAGTTTGACTTACTTAAGCAGAGTTACTAAACCTGAAGGCGGCTGCAGGACAAAAGCCTCTTCCAGCTTCTCCGGGAAGGAAACCTGGTTCTTCAGCAAGCTGAAGGTGACACTGGCCCGGCTGTGGACATGGCACACTCACTGACACTTTTCCATGGCCAATCAATGCAATTCCTCTCCTTTTTTTAGGAGTAAGCCATGAAACAAGCCCTATACCATATTTTTAGTAACAACTGAGGATGTTATAGAGATACTTTATTATAACATTTTGTAGTTTAAAGAGCTTTATTAATGCAATAAATTAACTTTGTACACATTTTTTGGGAGGGGAAAACACTAGGAAGTGATTTATTTCAGAATGTGGTAGGCCTCATTAGAGCTTGGTCTCCAAAAACTTGTTTGAAAAAAGCCACATGTTCTTCACAGTGTTCTCCTATAAAGGAAAATACAGACTCCATCAACGAATGTTACATAAGGAGGAGGAAAAGACGACAATGAACCTTTTGCAGCTCACAGATGATGTGTTTACTGGGGTTTAACTTATTTTCTTTAATGAAATACTTTGTTCTTCCAAGCTTTGCGTTGCCCTTTTTACTTAACACACAGCTCATGCCACTGCAAAACTATTTGGGTACCTTCATGGGCCCCATCTGCTCTGAGACAAAGAGAAGCTAATGGCAGACTGTGACGTGTCACTGTGGTAACTAAAGGTCATCCTGCACTGCATACTAATTAAGCTATAAAAGGTTCACTGACCTAAAAATAGTCATGCTGACGGTTTGATTAACAAGTTCCTCCCCCATCTTAAAGGAAAAAAGACATCTTAGATCTCAGAACTATTTGAAGATGAGAGTGATTAAACCAGGATTTCATGCCTAAAAGTGAAGCATTAAACACCAGGCCATTTTAAACCCTTAGCCACCATTCCATCTTAATTACTGCTTCAGAAATAAATTCCAAGATCCTGTCAGACTCGGCTATGTCCAGACTGCCTGAATTGGTCTTGAATGTCCCTACCCAACAGTACCCCCACTGTGGGCTCCCAGGGCGTTGTTATGCAGATTCGATTGCATTCTAATTCACTCCCCTGCAGATAAGGGCTGGGGGGGGGTAGGCAGGCTGTTAGGAAATCTCATGGTTAAAAATAAAGTAACCCAGAGTTACCATCCTCTTTAACAGAAGGCAGTATCCTGAGCTGCTCGCTGGCCCGCTAACAACGCAACCTGTTACTATCTGGGTCTGTGGTGGTCTCCAGGGCTTTTCATTACTACTATCTTCTCACCTGGCGTGAAACTAGGGTTCCCTCGCAAACGCTGGTTTCGTTGTTCAAAAAATCGGAATATCGTATAGAAAAGCATGTTGTCTTCAGTCTGCTTTGCAGCATCTAAGAATTTTCGGGCAGAAATGCTGTCATGTCCACCAATGCCCCGGATGAACCGTAAGGCAGCTAACACCTGGTGTTTGGAGAGAAGCACTTCTACTATCTCATCGTTTGCTGTTGAAAGTCTCTAGGAGACAGAGAGAATGCCAGGTAAAGGCAAGCCAACAGGAGCAGACACTCTGGTAGTCTAAACTTTCATGTACCAGAATTACCTTCAACATATCCAGAGACAGCTGATGCGCAGGAGGATAAAAACTTTCTAGGGATAAGAGCAGACAAGCCTGGAAGAGAAATTTTGACTAGCTTCAGCTTAAGAGGTTGGAAGGTTAAGATCTTAGCTGTAACCACTCTGAGGGCAGCGATCCAGTGAGAGACACATACCAGAGGCTTTGAGTCACTGAGGACGTGGTACTGCAGGAACTGATGCAGCATATAGAACAGGTTGTGCTGGACAAGGGTTTTGATGACCAGTTCATGTAAGTAATGCTGAGGACAAAGGAGAAGTAGAGATAGTTGCCAAATTGCTCAACTGCCACAGACTAGGCTTGTTGAGGACTGCAGCTATTCTAACTGACAGGGTAGAAGTTCTCAGTTACTAAATGAAGTATTTTCAATGTGCAAGTGAGAGAGTCCAGCCTGACACTGTACTGCTCATTCCCACTAAAGACAATGGAGTCATGTCAGGAAAGTCTCTCAGAATCCCAAGTGAGGTCTGCAAATCCTCACAGCATATAAGACAGTTGTCTTCTAAGTTAAGATAGTGACAGTGCTTTTGTTTTTTTTTTTTTTTTTTAAATTTCTCTGCTTCTCTAACTTGGGGGGACAACTGCTGATTTGAAGGTACCTGTACTGCAATCTGAAACTGGTTTAGAGAGCAAATATATTTGAAGGTACCTGTACTGCAATCTGAAACTGGTTTAGAGAGCGAATATATTCCATCAGTACAGCTATCACAAACTTATGAGGCATCTCCTGTAGAGAAAAAAAAAAAACGCTCTTATAAATATGAAAGAGTTGCCAAAGGGCTACATGGAGCTCCTTGTTAACCCGCCTCCCTTTTTCCATGTTAAACTGGTCCAATGCTCTAGTAAGTTCGCTTTGCACAAATCCCTTCAGAATCATCCTTCCCTGCTCAATAATTACTGTATCGGTTTAGGCTGAACATTAGAAGCCAAACTGTTAGCACTAAGCCCTCACCCAAGATAACTCCACTCATTCTAATCACGTTATGGGTGGTACCAATTTTCCTCAGTTCCCTTCAAATAGATCTTGGTTTCTAGAACCCTTAGTCCAGAGGAGGTGGAGGGCAGTGACCGACCTTCTTATCTGTGAACACAGACAGGACGTGAGTGTACATGTCAGACTGGTCCACAACCGCTTGTGTCCGCACAGGCCTTTTTAGAAGTGGATTACTTCGGCTTTGCCCTGCTTCTACTGCCTAAAATAATAAATACACATTGTGATCTTAATCATCTGGGTAAATGGTGCCGTTTACACTTAATCCAAAAAGACTAAGTTCCTAAGGAAGAAGCTGTGAACCTAAGACATGAACAGATGGTGACACTCCCGTCCCTACCTGGGTAAAACTATCTTCCTGTGTTGGCGGGGGGAGAGTTTTCAGCAGTCAGAGTTGGTCATCTTGAAAACACCCATTGTTCATGGTGGATGGAACTAAAAAAGCCTAAGTCTCCGTTTTAAGGTATATCATGCTTTTTCATCTCTTAAAAATAACTCTAATTTTCTTAACCACTGACTAATCCGGCATTTGTTATCTAATAAAAATGAAATGTCTTGCTGCATCCTTGTTTTATTTCACAGTAGGTGAATACCTCTTGTAACGAGCCTGTCTGGATTTTTAAATGGTAAGCAAGAACTCCCACAGAAGACCCTGACTGCTTTACCTAACTTTTTAGATCCAAACTTTAGCGTGCATTCTAATCACCTAGCGCCCTTGTTAAAATGCAGATTTGGCAGTGGGTGGGGAAGCGGTGGGCAGCCTGAGAATCTGCATGCCTCAGAAGCTCCAGATGCGGCCAGTGTTGACCTGCGGGCCACACCCTGAGTGGCAAGTGTTTACAAAGCCTAACAGCCACCGTGGAAGAAAGCCCAGAAAATGCCATTCAGGATCAATTCCCACAGCTCCACACTGACAGCAGTACCAAGACATGGGGACAGAAGCGCTCAGCCATCCCTCATGTCGGACCAAGGACCACGACAGAGATACGCTTCTTTAGAAGCCTGCTTTAGACCTATGATCTTGGCATTTAGCTAATGGGGAGTGAAGTTCTGAGACTCTGTTGTTGTTTAAAAGCCACTTGCATTTTTAGCCTTGGAACTAATCCGATTCCCGAAACAAAATAATTCCACTTGTCTAAAACCTTTCTTCCTTCTAGCTTCAGAAGACATGATGTATTAATAGTACAGCTGAACTTCGTAATAAGCCATGTGAATTTTTTTCAGCCCTTTATGACAAACATTTGATGCCTGCTACATGAAAAACACAGTTGCTAATATGTAATCATCATTGTCTTAGCAGGATACTAAATTCCAGGACAAGTCTTATTTTTATAGTTATTACATCCTAAAAGAAAGGAAGAAGACGGGGCAAAGCAATTATATTTCTAATTCACTAGCTCTAGGCTTTGGCTTGGCAAAAAGATGTATAAACTAATGCAAAGCTGAGACCCAGTCGCTCATCTATAAAACAGAGGCAGCACAGGGATCTAGCTACACGTAAGGTCAGACACAGGACGTGGAGGACACGCTGAGTGACATGCAGCCACAAGCTCATGGGATGCAGGGACTCGGAAAACATCACTCCCACCACCACTGCAACCTGCCCTCTGGCACGCCCTCTGGCAAACCTCAGGGATGACATAAACTTACATTTAATTACTTAGAAAATATACAGGGAAGGGGGAGCCTTCATCATGGTACATGTAACTTACCATTGTGTAACTCTGCTCGGCATCCAAGTACCTTTTATACTCATGATTGAGTTTATCAAAAACAGTGGCTACCACAGGCAGTGTCGCTCTGTCGGATTCACTTAGCACTGGAAAGGATACAATGTTTACACAGATCAAACTGGTTTCATGTCAACTTCAGAACTTAAACCTGCTGCTGTGACAAAAATAACTAATGCACATACACCTTACAGGGCATTTGAAGAACTGTATTTTAGAGACCTGAAACCTAGAAATCACTCACACTCCCTTTCTGGGTACTAGAAAAAAAAATCTGTTCAAATAGACAGTGGCTTGGATTCTTAAAACAACAACGAAAAAGATGTTTAAAGCAAGGGGAGGTAACCTACTCGTGTGCACCTGTTTAGGTTTGCTTTAATCTGGAACCATCCTATTCTACCAAAATCTCTATAAGCCATTTTTATATTTAGGAGCCTTTGCAGGAGGAAAAATAATCCATCGTTCAAGTGAAGGATGAAGTTACAGGTTATAGACAAGGCATAAAAATGTAGTCCACCTCCCAGTAAAACGTGTTGGGCAGCACAGGCCTACTACTGGAATCAGACCGGCAGGGAAGGACCTCATCAACTTACTCTGCGAACAGACAGACAATATGACCATCTTGCATTCCTTTCTCTGGAGGAGAAAGTCCATCAATCTTCCTTTATCTGGCAAGAGATTTACTATGGGCTGAAGCTTCACTTGGAGGTTCCAAAGGTAACCTGGATTTAAGGGGCAGCAAATTTAACAGTATGATGCAAACCAGAACTGAAGCCAAAAAAATGGTTCCCCTAAATTTGTAGGGGAAAAGATGGCAAAGCACAGTGGCTTCTTACTACACCAAAGCAGTCTAGCATAGTCAGGAACACTCCTGACAACAGAAGCCGAACTATTTCTGAATGCCTGGTGGATTTCTTTCAATACAGTAACCTCTCCCACTCAAGAGGTCTATCAGTGCTTGTTGTCAGGCGCCATCAGGTCAACTTCAACTCACAGCAACCCCGTGTGACAGAGCAGAACTGCCTCATAGGGTTTTCTACGCTGTAATGTTTAAGGGAGCAGATCTCCAGATCTTTCTCCCGCAGAGCTGCTGGATGGGTTCAAACCCCCAACCTTTCGGTTAGCAGCCAAGTGCTTACAGCTCCCTAAATACAGAGGGTGACAAGTCCCTGATCAGCTCAAGGTGGTACCTTTCTCACACCTGTCCCCTTTTTATCCCTGAAGGTAGAAAAAGATGTTGACCCGTGGCATTAACTTCAGTCCTGTACTTTGGTTTCTCATCAGTCCAGGAGGTAACTCTAGGGGCTCTCAACGCAATTTCATGATCCTCCCCTTGGCCGATCCGTGAGTCTATACAGACCCGCATGCTGGGTAAGTGGGCACAGCCTGGTGCAGCATTTCTCAGCTGGGCTTCCTTGAGAGAATCAACCTCTACAGGAAAAGTGATTTGAGGGATCACTTTCTGAACTCTCCCAAAGCTGGTATAGAATTAGAATCATTCCAGATGCGAAGGAGAGAAGCTGACTCACCGCATGCAATAGATGCCTAGGGCAAAAACTAAACCAAACTTGTTGCCGCTGAGTGGATTCCGACCTATGGCGACCCCATGTACTGCAGAGTAGAACTGTTCCATAGGGTTTTCTTGGTGGAAGACTGCCAATCCTTTCTTCCACGGCACCACTAGGTGGGTTTGAACCACCAACCTTGTGGTTAGCAGTCCAAAGCAAACCATCTGTACCACCCAGGGACCTATGCTCAGGGCAAGAGGGCTTAATTCTCTCCTGGATAAAGGCTGCCCCAGTGGATAAGACAGGAACATAAAGAGGAGACAAACGACTACTCCAGAAAGTACTCTGGCAGAGAGACAAGGTGCTAGGGGGTTACGCAGGGACAACTAACAGCCTGAGGAGGCATCACCGAGGTGAGGAGACGCCACCTCCTGGGCACGCGCTCATGTCAGAGGGCACAGGCTCCACTGGGAATGAAGAGACCAGGAAGGGCCGTGCACCCTGCACTGTGGAGCCTGGCTTTTCAGGTTGGGCAGCCAGGAAAGGGCTGAAAGCCGGGGCTGGCCACTCTTAGTTGCTGTTTTAATTGTAAGAACAGTACACGTTCATGGTAAGATACACATGCTATAGAGAACAGAATGGAAGAGGAAAAAGAATCCCATTCTCCACGTTTGAGGGAGAGGCCATTTCTCACATTCATCCCCCTTGAAAACGTCACTGGCTACTCCTGCCATCCACAGTCACCAGTACTGCTGTCTCTCTAACACGACGGGCGTCCTGCTGACCTACCTTGGCTCGCACTAATGATGATGTCAGGTTGGAAGACAATCCAGGATGAAGAATCTACATGTTATAGGAAATTCTGCCCCAAGGTGGTGAGAACAAAAGACAAACCGTGCTTCAACAGCACTCACCCTGCCCCTTCCTGGTGGGGCTCCTCTGAACACCCGCCCCGGATGGTCCGGAAATCTCCCCAGGGGACGGACTCTCAAACCCATCACAGCTGACTTGGGTGGGGCTTCCAGGCTACTCTTTGTAGAAACTTGGGTGAAGAAGGGGTGGCAGACTTCAGGTTTGCAGACAGGACCAATGCCTTTTTAAAGGATACAGAGCTTACAGGGAACAGGAGACTGGCTGGTCACAGAAGCAGGACCTACAAATTGAGAAAACACCAATGTGCAAGGACTGACGGTGCGGGCAGAGAAGGCTGCAAATGCTAGTACTTAAGGTGTAAAGTCTAATTATTCTGAAGGCTTCAACAAATGTTTATACTTAAATAAGGAAGATGGCAACTTGTTGTGTTCCAGTGGGAGGAAGGGGAAGAGGATAGAGAACAATCTAGGGATCGATCTGTGAAATGTCTTCCCAGGAAGAGGAAAGCGTCAAAGCCTTGCTTCAGTCGGAGTGGATTTCCTTAAGCAAAGATGACTCATCACTGCTTATAAGCTGAGAAATTCACCTGGAGGATTCAAAAGCAAACCCCCAGATCATCACTGGGAGTATTCAAATTAAAGTGTTCTGGGGATTAATTATCTAAATAATCAGCTCCAGTCCCGCAGCAGAGAGCAGTACGGGACGCAGACCCACAAAAGCCTCACCTGACAGCGACTCAACAACTACCAGTCCCGCAGCCCACGCGTCCCGCAGCCCACGCGTCCGGCACGCAGCCCGCAGTGAACTTGAGAAACTCGCCCCACAGACCAAACACGGCTTCCAGTTCTGTTCCAGCTACCCAGCTACAATTAGAAGACAAGTTTTGATCAGCTGGTGGGAAAAGGTGGTCATTCTGAGCAGACCATCGAAAGGAGGAGAGCGCCAAGTCAGACAGCTGATAAAAGAACATGTGCACTCTGAACCCAGGCCTGACAGTCTCCACAGTGTTCTCAGGCCTGGCTGCCCGAGGGTGACGTAAACGCTGACAGCCAGGCAGCTTTCGTTTTCACAGCTCCCGAGGTGATCCCAATGTGAAGCCAAATCAAGCACCACTGGACTAACAGCCAAAAAACAAATGGAGGGAAAAAAAGGGCAGCTGGCCCTTCTACCCTGAGCAAAGCTGCTGGTTTCATGTACCCTACAGAAGATGCACACTGGGGCTGGACCAGTTACTAAGATGCTACAAGCCTCCGAGGGGCTTACAATCTAGCAAGGAAAAAACAAAACAAAGTCATTAGCCTTACAAATGCATAGGTGCAAAAGTTTATCGGTGGTCGCCAGGGCCTGGGGGACGGGGTTACTGCTGAAGGGGCACTGAGTGTTTAGGGTGATGGAAAACCTCTGGAACTGGACAGTGGTGGTGATTGCCCAACATGGTCAATGAAATGAAGGCCAATGAATTGTACACTTAAAAATGGTTAAAATGGCAAAATTTTTGTTATATATATTTTACCACAATAAAAATAAAATTTTTTTAAAAAAACCATCAGTGTTAAAAAAATGCTGCTTTACCAGTTCACACTCTGGAAACCAGAGTCAATGGAATCTGCAATTCCTCCTACTGATCTTTGCTCCAATTGTTATTCTGACCGTGCCTGGCATTTGTTTTATTACAACCAGCCAATTAGAACCTGATTGGTCCTATACAGCCAGATCTAAGGTTTTAAGTGTTTACAAGCTGGTTTTTTTTTTTTTCCCCAATTCACTAGCATGTTACCTTCACACCATGTGAGCAGCAGATGCAAGCTAATCATCTGACACAATCAGTTCTTTTCATGCTACCACTACTGTCCAGAGAGAAGAAAGAAGCTGGAGAGAACAGAAGCCAAAAGACCTCCTCAAAGTTTCTGTGAGAACCAGCTCCTTCCTCCCTAACTCTGCCAGAAAGTTACTAAGCTTCTGGCTGATCCTCCGATGGCCCTAGGCACAAAGCCCAGCAAGACTCCACTGGGCGGCCAGTTAAGGGGGCTCTGGCTAGGCCACCAGCCTGAGCCTGATTCCAAATCCCTCTGGGAAAGGTCCAAGAAGTCCTGACTGCAGGCTGGGCAAACCCACCAAATGCTCTTCAAAAGGTATTCCTTTTACTAACAGAACTTTGCTACCAGAGTTCCAAATGGGAACCTTCTGACTACGGTTTACAAACAAACCAAAACAAGCGAACGCTGGACTCCACTCTCCTTTAAATTAAGAGTGCTGAATATTGTTTGAATTCTATTTTATATTGTGAAACGGCAAAAGGAAACCAAACAGTTTCTCTCCTGGGTCTTGAAATCCTGGCCTCCTCTCTAAGTTCCTGCTCCACCCTTCCTCAGGTGGAAGGGCTGATCTAGAATACCCTGAGACTCACACAGCCTCAAGCACTCACCGTCCCATCAGAGTCAGAAAACAATGCAGTATTCACTGTAATTATGACACTGAGTGTAAGAAAGACGGGACAGTGACCCCAGGTAAAAATAACAGCTACAAGCAGCCAAATTTAGTTACAGGGTTACAGAGCTCAGGCAAACGAACTATCAAGGCTTATTCAACATTAAAAAAAAAAACACCCTTCAGCTTTAATGAGTAATCACAACTCCCCATTTTAAAGCTCAGGGAAGAGAAATCATTCTATTTTCTTCCTTAAAGGAAGATTCATTTATCTTCTAAAATGCTTTCATAACAACATAATTAAGTAAAGCTTTTGGAATCAGTAGACCTGTTGCCGTCGAGTCAATTCTGACTCACAGCGACACTATGGGACGGAGCATTACTGCCCCCCAGAGTTTCCAAGCAACTGCTGGTGGATTCGAAGTGCCAACCTTTTAGTTAGCAGCCACCTCTTAACAACCACCAGGGCTCCTTGGAATCAGTAGGTATTGATTTTTTTTTAAGTAACCCACCCACTGCCGTCGAGTTGATTCCGACTTATAGCGACCCTACAGGACAGAGTAGAACTGTCCCATAGGGCTTCCAAGGAGCAGCTGGTAGATGTGAACTCACAACCTTTTGGTTAGCAGCCAAGCTCTAACCACTGTGTAACCAGGACTCCTTTTTTTTTTTTCTTGTCTCAGTAGAACAGAATAATCAAATAAACAGGTCTGGGGATCCCTGTGCACCCTGCTCTTGCCACTCTGAACACAATCCCCAAAGATCACGGCACAAGCATAATGGACACGGTGGAAGAGCCACACACAGTCTCCTTCCTGGGATCCCGTCTCACCTGCTGCGGGGATCTGGTAGGGCTGAATGGATCGCGGGGGAAGTACGGGGTGATGGACGGTCACTGCCCCATCAAACTCGCCCCTCAACTTGATGTCAAATATGACAGATGTCTAAGGCACAGAAAAAGAAGACTGTGACGCCAAAACAAATCACGGCTGGAGATGTCCTTTTGTTACGTCAGATCTTGCTATTTCAGCTCCGTTTACAGAGTCTGTATCTGCATTCCCTCTGGCGGACCTACAGGTTAGCTCTTACTTGAGGAATCTGCCATAACATCACCACTCTATTTCACATTTTTATTTTCTCTCACAAAACATTTCTTGCGCTTATGACGTTTCCTTTGAAAAACTCAAAGTGATGTAAGCAGATCTTTTTCACTGTAACTTTCGACAGCTTCATCAGTCAGAGATGTATCTAGGGAACACCATCCACCATGGAGGGTGGGAGGTAACGGCCTAGAAAAAGCAGGACCCATTCTATTTCTCTTGGACCACACTGCCTCAAAAGCATTATCCTCTACAATCACAAACTCATGGAACATGGTGGTTCTGCAGCAAATTCCCGGTTTAAGTGATGCAACCAAATAATTGTCCGAGATGGCAAATCTCTGCTATCTGGCTAAAATAATCAACTGGTGGGGAATCACTGCTTTTTCTAGACCATTTAGAAAATCAAACCCAAGTTTCCACTTGGAAGACCAAAACTTTTAGCATAAAAAGTACTTTCTAGCCTTTGTTCAGAATGTTTTGCAATTTTCACAACTCTTTTAAGCAACCCTAACTTGTACAGACACAGTGTGGAATCCCTTACACAACTCATACCTCTGTGTCCTGATGGTGAACGACGACCAAGTTATCCACCACGTTCAGGGCAAACTTTCCTGTCCTATTTAACTTTAATATGTGCATCTTTTTACAGGCACCTTCTCTGTAGGACAACAGAAAGGTCAAAAAATACACCAACCAGCTTTAGTTCGTATTTTAAAATCAGAGAAAAGAGGGAAGAGAGTATTAAATTACCGTGGGAGATGATACAGGACTACCTCTGCTCCTGTACTATTGGAGGTCCGAGAATGATGCCTCAGGAAGAGAACATAGAGCTGTCCATAGCTAATTACAGAACAGACAGACATAAGACACAGTCAGACAGACATAGTCATTTGGCCATTTAAAATCCCTCCATTGTAAATGCTGAATTCTAGGGCCATGGTTAAGTAACCTATGAGATCCTCACTGATGGTATATTTTGCAGCCAATGAAAATGTTTACAAAGAAAGTACAATTAGTCAGAAAAAGCCTATTATAAAGTTAAGTGAAAAAGGGAATGCAAAACTAAATACAGCTTGCTCAGTTACTTAACAGAAAAACACAAACCTATGTAGAGTCAAAAAAAAAAAAAAACTGGAAAGAAATATATTGTTAATAGTTGTCTTTGAGTGATAAGCTAAGTTCATTTCCTTTCCTCTAATGTTCTGAATTTGAAAATGTAATTAATATTCATTTTTAAGGCCCTATCTAACAAAGGTTGCTGTGAGCAGTTCCTGAGTGCGTTTCTACTCCAGGGTTTTCACACGGTGTTCCAGGAGAACACTGTGCAGGGCCTGCTACAGGAGCTACAGGCGGAGGGGAGGCCTCGGGGAGAGGAACCCATGTCCCACCTCCACTTCAGATAGGACTGCTCCCAGTTTACCTGTTTTCTAAACTGGGATGCCAAAGGTATCCTTTAAAAAAAAAGCATTCTTCTGCTAAAAGTTTTTAAAAGTCTGGAAACCACTGTTTTAGGTCACAGAAGAATCAGAAGTAATTTAAAAGCAAAATTTGGTAACTGTTGAATCTGGGTTATGGGTACATGGGGGAGATGGTTTTTTGTACTAGTCTCTATTTTTATGTGTTTGAAATTTTCATAAGTTTAAAAACTGAGATGTCAGCTTTTCCAAATGAAAATATACCTTCCTACATAAGTAATTCAGTTCCATGTTTGTTACATTAAAAACATATTGTTTTCTTATTTTGACCAATTATAAAATTTTAGCTAAAAAAAATCCTTGATACGATTCAACTCACGGAATGAAAAAAAAAATTTCTAAAACCAGATGATACCAAAGATATAAATTGGTTCAATGTTGTCATTATATCAGCCTAGAGAGGTGAAAAACCTTCCATAAGTTCACATAGCTAGAAATATTAAAAAAGAATGTCAAAAAGACAACAGGTTTTTGATATGCATAAAATCTAGGTACTAAGCGGGAAAAGGGGAGTTCTTACTATGTGTTCTAAGGGTACTAAGGAAAGGCAGTGCTTACAGGGCACTCCTTCCAGTACTGTCAGTAAAAGCAAGTACAAAAAGGAGTTCTCCAAACACAGACATACATTGTAGCCATTGCAATATCTCTTTCAGAAAGGCTAAGTTTCGTTGACTTAGGTGCAGCTGGTAGTTCAATCTCAAACTTGGGCAGCTTCGACATAGTGACAGCCTGTTTAGGGGGAAAAAAGAGTTTTAGGAAAAGTTTATTAGAACCCCTTAGGTATTCTGGAGACCTGGTGGCACAGTGGTTAAGAGCTCAGGCTGGTAACCAAAAGGTCAGCAGTTCGGATCCACCAGCCGCTCCTTGGAAACCCTATGGGGCAGTTCTACCCTGTCCTGTAGGGTCGCTATGAGTCAGCACTGACTCAACGGCAATGGGTTTCGTTTGTTTGTTTTTAGGTATACTAGCATTCTCTAAAAACACTTGAGAATGTATACACACTGTGTCCTTCCACCCTTTCCCGCATCCCCCTACATACAGTGCAGGCTTTTATCACAGCGGGCTCATTCGGGGAGGTAATGGGACGTGACCGGGTGCCCTCTAGTGGTAGGAAGTGGTGATGCTATTGTTGAAGGAACTTGCTTGACACATTAGGATGGAAAAGGAACAGGGCAGGGGGAAAAGGCAGTTTTTTTTAAAGGGAGGCTTACTCTTACCCTAAAATAAAAAGGCTGCAAAACATTCCCAAGGACTGTGGTCGACAGCAGAATCACAGAGCTCTCGGGACAGTACATGTACCAATTCACATTGATGTTCTGGCTCTTCAAGAGCTTCAGGTTCCGTTTCTCTGGTAAAACCTGAAGCAGAGTTCAAGAAACAAAACCTACTTAAAAATACGAAATATCAGAAAACAGGTGCATTAAATTAAAATAAAAAAAAAATAAAAGACCACCAAGAAGTTAAATAGAAAACTACTATTTTTTCCTAATTACAGCTACCACTTACACAGTGCTGTGCTTAGCGCTTTACATATCTTAGCGCATTTATTCTTCAAGACAACCCCGAGAGGGGGCCATCATTAGCTCTACTTGACAGACAAGGAAATAAGGCTCAAAGGCGCTAGGGAATCTGCCAATTTAACAAACCAATGATAGCTCCCCTAGCTTCTCTGACACCAGATGCAAAAGAGCAAGGAACAACAAAATTCTCATCTCATTCATACCGGAAACCGAAACCCTAGAGACAAACCAATTGCTCCAGAGCTCAGGGCGTGGAGCCCCCACCTCCCAGCCTGCAGGATGCCTGCCTTCTACCTGGTCTCCACCTCCGACTCCAGGCTGCACTGGCTCTGGGAGGAGACTCGCTTTTTCTAACAGATGTGTTCGTGAGACTCTGTACATGCATTTTTTTATCATCAAGGTGCATTTTAAATAAGTAAATAATTTTGATACACTAAGGTGCACTGTATAGAGCCCCCCGCCTCCAAGATACTGATGCCCACGGAACGCTGCACCAAGGAACTGACAGAAAAGCCAGGGCAGGGAGGCATGGGGCCAGTCCATGATTGGCGTACAATACGGTGAGGATGTGCTGGACGGATGGCACAGGACCTGCAGGGTTTTGGTCCACTGTGCATGGGGTCCCAAGTCAAGGGCCGACTTGGCGGCAGCTAACAACAGCGACAACAACAGTCCTTTCAACTTACTTCTTAAAGTAAAAGAACTGAAGACCATCTAGATGACTTTCCCACTACAGAGACCAGAAAGATGTACTTTTAAATGATTACTGCGGGGATCCCTCTGTAGAGCAAGCAGTCCTTTCCATGCTATCATTTGCACAAATCCTATTTCTGTGCCTGAGATCTGTTTCAAGTTTGTTTTATTTCTGCTGGCCATTACAAAGACTGTGATGACGGCCCAACAACAAAGCGCCACGACTTTCACATCTCGTGTTGTGTGTACTCAGTTGTATTCCCTCCATCCCTAAATTCCAAGTCATGCTGCTTTCATTAGGCCAACAGACTCAACGGCTGAAAGAGTCCTAACACCCATTACATTAGCTCCACCTACAGGTCTCAGAACTATCACTATGGGTCAGGCCGTTGAAACCTACTAAAAGACAGAACAGACAGTTCCCAACACAGGAGACACAGGTGGACAAGGAACACATGAAAAGGTGCTTAACTCCTTAATCGTGAAAAACGCAAAGCACAACGTATTTCCACCTCTCAGACTGGCAAACGTCTACTGACTGATTATACCCAGTTCTGGCAAAGGTGTAGTGACGGAGATTGCTGCGAAGCTGGTGGAAGTGGAAGTTTCTATAAGAAATCTAGCAATAAATGTTCAGCTTTTTAGATGTTCAGACCTACCTCGTAATTCCTCTTCCAAGAAAGAATGTAACTCACCCAAAAATATAAAGAAATATTTACAGGCAAGTTCAGGCAAAATTGTTTGAAATCACAAAAAGTGGAAACATGTCAGATGTCCATCCATAGGGAAGTGGTTAGATAACTTATAGTATATCTACACAATGGGATAGTACTCAGATATTACAAACAACAAAATATGAAAAGATGTCCAAGATACACTGCTACGCCAGAAAAGGAGGCTCCACAAGTTGACACAGTATTCCCATTGTTTTTAATAAATACATTAGTTATGTGTGAAAAAGAGATGGAAGAATATGCAACAAAATACTCACAGTAGTTATTTCTAAACTAAGTGAGACGAAGTCTTGCCATCCTTGCTTCTAAGGAGCATTCTGGCTATACTTCTTCCAAGACAGACTTGTTCATCCTCCTGGCAGTCCATGGTATATTCAATATTTTTTGCCAACAGCACAATTCAAAGGCATCAATTCTTCTTTGGTCTTCCTTATTCACTGTCCAGCTTTTGCATGCATATGAAGCAACTGAAAATTCTATAGCTTGGGTCAGGCGCAGAATGCTCCTTAGAAGCAAGGATGGAGAGACTTCACCTCACTTACTTTGGACATGTCATTGGGAGGGACCAGTTCCTGGAGAAGGACATCATACTTGGGAAAGTAGAGGGTCAGCGAAAAAGAGAAAGAGCCTCAACGAGATGAATTAACACAGTGGTTGTAACAATGGGCTCAAACATAACGACTGTGAGGATGGCGCAGGACTGGGCAGTGTTTCGTTCTGTTGTACACAGGGTCTCTGAGTCAGAACCGACTCACCATCACCTAACAATAACAACAGTTATTTCTAAGAATTATAGATGACTTCTACATTCCGTACAGTATATCTTGGTAATGTTTGAATATTTTTTAAATATGTATTACATATATAATTAAAGAAGATTAAAAATTGAAGCAAAAGACTAACGCTCTAGAATCTCAAAATATCTACTTAATGCTGAACTCAAAAGGCTGCCAAGCTGCTATTCTTGAACTTTCCCCAGCAAACATCAATGATAAATGTAATACCTGGTAAAATTCAATTCCTTGATCTGTTATAAAGACAATCTCAGTAGAACTGGTCCAGCAGAATCCTAGTATATTGGCATTCTTGGTCTGAAAAGAATTACAGAAAGATTTTTTTTTAATTCATAAGAAAAACTGATTTTTAGAATTTTCCTCCCAAATGAAATAAGTAAAATCTATAAATTAATATTTAACTCTCTTCAAAAGCTTAAAATGCTCTGTTGTTTGTATCACTAGACCTTTAGTAAAAGTTTCCCAGATCTGACTACTCATTAGCAGATCAAATTTTCTTTTAAATACAGTTTGCCCTGATTGCACCCTTCACTGAAGTACCTGGATCTTAATTCCTTCTAGTCAACAGAGCAGAGGAAGAAGCCTGAGGTTTGTAGAAAGGGAACTAACCAGAGTTACAGTATCAACTTCCACCTTTAGGAACCAGAATATGGTTGACATTTCCTTAGTCAACTACATTATAAAAACTGGCAGTATGAAAGTCAATAGCTAACAGTTTTTTTCAGTGAGGAGTGACCACAATGGGGCCAGGGCCCTGAGACCACGCCAGGGTCACATGATGACCAGAAGCGCCACGAGCCTGAGGCTAGTGAGGCCCAGCAGGACGATGACGAGGTTCCACAGAGCAAAATGGCAGGCCGGTGAGGGGCTCAGTCATTTGACTGAGGAGCCTTTCCGTACCGAGGAGCACCCTGAACTCCAGTCAGCAATGCTGTTAACAAAGCTGCAGAAAGCCAGACCCGTCCACGAGCAGCTTCTCTTAGCTCCTAGGGGTGCCACATTCCCAGTGTGAGCTAAGCTCCCTAGCCTGGTTTATTATACCCAGCAAAGATGATTAGTGTGGATTAGAACCTACACCTAGGGAAAGAAAGGAAGGACACAACAAGGACAACAAATCGAGGGAAAAAAACATCCTCCGGAAGGGAAAAAGAACTCCTCACCCAGAAGCCTCCATATGAGGCAGCTGTGGAAGGAGCCCATGTTTGCTGACCCAGAGGCACAGCCCACCACGTGGAGGAGTGCAGGGCAATGCCAACAGCAGCAACCACCTCATACCATCGTGGATGTCTAACACCCATCACCCACATAATCCTCCCAACTCCGTTTCAGAGATGAGGAAAGAGGCTCAGAAAACTACGAAACTGTCCAAAACCGCAGAGCTGACAGGTGGCCAGCCTTAGCATGAGAACGATTCCAAGTGTACGCTCTATCACACAGCCACCCAGTGCTGATGTGACCCACTGAGGGAGGTCCCTGCCCATACCTTGCACTCTTGTGTGTACTCCTGCTGAGAATTATCGGGGATGAAATTAGAAAAATCCTGGAAGAAAGAAAACAACACACACACACGGAATGATTTGGATTGAGCAGTATACCGCCAGCCCACCTGGGCATACGTGATAAAGAGAAAACGACAAACCAATGTAAGAAGTGATGAGAAAAAAATCTACAAAAACCCAAAGACAGGAAAGATAAAAAGACCAATTTAGATAATTGCCTTCTTAACAGCAACAGGTTTACAATCCATTTTTTAAAAAAGTTAATCCAAATATCCAGTTCATTCAGTTAAGAGTTTAGAAACTGATTTTGCAAATTCATTCCTCAAATGGTTGATTTTGGAAAAATACATTGCTACGTTCTACCAAAGACGTTCCAGAAATTTTAATAATTAATACTGATGGAAAAAGTTAGCATAGGATTGGATCCATCTTTCCCAACAGTCTGTCTCTACTTCATGGTGCTAGTGAATACTTACAAGGGCTACAATGCCAACAAGCCTCTCCAACTTTGATTAGTCATTCCTATTATATCTAGCATTCAGAGATGTGAGAAGTGAATAAATGGAGTTACCTGGCTAAGGCCAATTCATAAAGTAGCCAAAAACATACCTCACATAATCGATGCTGCTAGCTATCAACTAATACAAAAGATGAAGTTCCAAATTACTAAAAAGAAAAAAATTTAAGTCAAAAAAAAAAAAAAAAAAAGACAAACTAAGGACAGTCTTTGCTTATCCATTCAAAAGTCATTCTCATCTTTTAACAGTTCCACAGGCTAAAATAAAATAATAAATGGTTCCGTTAACATCGGAATTTTGCAATTCATTATCTTCCCAATGTACTTCTAATGTCTTTGTTTTTATGCTACATTTAAAGATATGTCTTACCACAGTCTTTGAGGTCCTCTGAACAGCCAATATCTTATTTTCTAAGGAAAACTTAATGCATTTCACTTCTCCTTTGTCTTCCATTCTTTAAAAAGAAAGATTAACAGTTAAACATAAAAACGGAATTCTAGCTACTATCATTTTTTTGAGAAGACAAAAGGCAAGGTAAGTATTCAGGAAGCAACAAATTCCAGTTTAAAATTAAAATTATGTTTCTGAAGCCACCAGTAGGACCTCTGTTCAACAAAACCCAACTGGTAGCCAACTTGCTAGAGAAATCTGCAGTATTACATTATAAGGAATTGAAGAATTGACATCATAATACACTTGTCATCTGAGAATTATTTTAGACGTGCATCTATCCACACAGTAACCCTCTGCACAAAATGTTGCCGTCTCTCTCCATCACTTCTCCCAGCAAAGCTTCTGGAAAGAGTAGTCTACAGAGCCATCTGACTTCTCTTCCACACCCAACCAGTCACAATGTACTAGATGGCTCCACCTGCATGCAGTGCCTCACAAATGCCTCAAACATGTGCTCAAAAGTGAATCTGACGAAAACTTTTGGGGGTATGGATACATCCGTTATCTGAACTATAGTGGCGATTTCTTACGTCAAAACTCATCTAATCGTATAAGTTAAATATGTACAGTTTATCATGTGTCAATTATACCTCATTAAAGCTTTAAAACAAACAAACAGAACATTAACCAAAAAAAGTTAACTCAGTATCATCTCCCTCAAACCCTGCCCAGACGCCAAATCTGGATCATCGCAGGGTCACTCTCATATCTACATCTTACTGACCAACCCATCTTGCCCATGACATCCCTTGACTGCCTGCATAATGCCCGTCATGGGGCCTTAGTTCCGGTCTTCACCCCCTCTGCCTCAGACTACCGCAAGTGTATATTAACGGTCCTAACTCTGGTATGCTTTCAACTAACCCACCCTCAATGCTGCTGACAGCACTCTTCCCAAAGACTGATGATCACACTCACCTTACAAATTCTCAATCATAAGATAAAGCTCTGAGTCCACAGCAGAATATATACACTCCAACCAGTCCCTGCCAGAGGCCACGGGCACCCCTTCCGTGCACAGACACCCTGATCTTCAGTCACAAAGACCTGCAGTTCCCCAAACACCCTGCACAGTTCACTTCTGCACTTGGCGTACCTTTAATCTAGAAGGCCTGCCCTCTTCTCTACCTCCAGAAACCCCATTTGTGCTTGAAAACCTTGCTCAAAGGTTGCCTCCTCTGTGAGGCCATCCCCCTCCTGGGCAGTGGTCTTGTCTAGCCTACCCCAAGATAAATGCCACACCTCTGTGTTCCCACAGGCCTTTGAACAGAGAGCTCTATTATAGCACTTATCACACTGAACAGTATTTGCCCACTCACTTATCTCCCACACTAAATTTACGAGTTCCTCTAAAGGGGGCCAGGCTTGTGCCTAGCACAGAAACTGCAATCAGTGTCTGTCTAACAAATGACAAGCAAAGAGGTTCATTTTGGTTCAGGGTGATTTATTTTTCCACTTCAAAAGCTGTTTCCTATTAACATAGGCCAACCATAAAAAAAAATTTTAAAGTCACCACTGAATTGAGGGCCAACATTGCACCTGTCCCTTCTGTAATCACAGGAGTTAAGGTGGCCAGATATTTTATCACCTAAATCAAGACACTTCTGAAAGTGAAAAGGCTGCTACTTAAAATGACAACAGCTCGACTTTGTAAACAGACATCCATGGCCTCGACTACAGTGGAAGCCACGATTTTCTTAACAGACACTATTACATGAGACACAGTAGCCTAGGAATCTCCTCCACCTACCAAACATTCTGGAGAGACCTAGGCTAAACCAGGAAATGAAGACCCTCCTCAGGGCAAGAAATTGCAAATGAGCACATAATGCCCTGGCTTGCTCATTTCAAGTACCAGGAAGTAGGTGCCCTACTTTGGAGTATTTGCTTCACAAATCAACAGGGAACTACTCCACACATTTCACACTGACAAAAAGTTCTAGCACCAAGACTGCACATCAGGAGTCTGCTTCCCTCTCCCTACAATCAAGGATTCGACACACACACTGCTTCTACAGACTGCTCAGGGGAGGAAAAGGCAAATTTCAAAACAACCTTCTGAATGAGAAACAGAAAAACACCATTTTGTTTGCGTGTTGAAATTATTGTGAAAAACGGCAGTACTGTTACCTAAATGAAATGGGATTCCTATCATCCGGTCCTTTCACTACAACCCCAGTAGCGCCACCAGATCGAACAGCAAAAACCTGACAGGGAAAAGCAACAATGTTAGCGGTCTGAACTTGGAAAGGAAAGAGATACATAAAACAATCTACAAATGGTTATTGCAACTACACACGGCCCCTGGCTCAACTAAACTAACGTGGCATGTATCAGTCTGCAGATGCTTGTTTGTTCACAGGAATTTTAAGAAATACGACGACCACTCCAAGCGCTGCCCAGCGTGCAAGGCCGGGCCGGGGGTCCTCGAGGCTCCAAGTCTGAAGGCCGGTTGGAACCCTGGCGCCCTTTACAAAATTCTGAGGATAATGCAAACCTCAACGCCTAAATCCTTCACTGCAAGTTTGATAATGAGTAAAGGCAACAAAAGATGCCTAAAAGGCCCAGGGACCACGGGTCGGTGGCGCTGCTTCGTCCCTGTTTTCACTTCCCACGAGGATGCCCCGGCCCAGCCCACGGCCTCCTCTCCCGCTGCCCGGGAAGAAGCTGCGCCGGAGCCAGCGCCGGGCCGGGAGGGAAGGCCCGGGCCTGGTCCCTGGGGCCCCGACTTCGCGCGTGGGACGCCCCGCGGGGCGTCAGCAGGGTGGGCCGCATTCCGGGCCTCGCCGGCAAGGAGAACTGCGCGGGGCCGCCAGGGGACCCGCCCGGACCTGCTTGTTGGCCTCATCGAAGAAGACGCAGTTGACGGGGTTAGCCTTCTCGAACTGCACCGGCCGCTCGCTCAGCTCCAGGTAGTAGTCCTCCTCGCCCATGGCGGGCGCGGGGGGCCCGGCGGCGGCCGCCAGCGTGGAGCTGGGCGGGCGCCCGGCACGGGGCGCTAGAAGCGGACAACCCTGGTGGCTGCGGCCGTGACGGCAGCGAATAACCCGGGGGGGAGCGCGGAGGCCGCTTCCTGGTGCCACGCCCCCACCCCTCTTGACACGTGACCCACGGCGCCTCTGCGCTTAAACAGGCAACGGCCGGCCGGCAGCTGTGGGGCCCACCGGTTGTCACAGGCTCTTCCCACTCTCTGGAGAGCAGGGTCCCGGCCAGGGGCGACGACGGCGTTATCCTGAAACCCGAGCGGTGCCGAGAGGGCAGGTGGCGGTGCTGCCGGCCTCCCCATCCCGGAGTCCACTGTGCGCGCTCCCTCCTCCCCTTCCTCTGGGTGTGCGGGGCTTGGCGCCCGTGGGCGGGGGGATCCGCCCCGCGAGCTTTGCTGCAGGCGGGGGCTGGCGGTCTGCAAACGCTCGTCCTTTATTTCGGGGAGGATTATTGGGCGCCTCCTGGGCCGCAGGCGCCCTGGTGGCACAGTGGTTAAGAGCTTGGCTGCTAACCAAAATGTCAGCAATTCCAATCCACCAGCGGCTCCTTGGAAACCCTCTGGGGTATTTCTACTCTGTCCTATAGGGTCGCTGTGTGTCGGAATCGACTGGGCGGGAACGGGTTTTTCTCCATAGCTGCGGCTCCTGTTTGCAGACTAGTGGAAGAGGTGAGGGCTATGGTAAAGAGCCAGGGTGCTGTGAGCGTCTGACAGGGCAACCTAACGTAGAGTGGAGTCAGAAAGCCACGTTTGAATGGCCTTGATATCTGAAGGGGGTGAGTTGGAGTTAGAGAGACTTGGGGGTGGGCACCTCATTCAAAGGACAAGAGAGGAGACAGCGAGGAGGAAGGGAGGTGTCGCAATGCACCCCAGGTTTCTGTTCTTACACGGGTGGACGTTGCACCATCCTCTAAGACGTGAGGCGTGAGAGGGTTGGCGGGAACGTGGGCAAGAGCAAGAGTTCCGTTTTGGACACGTGAGTCTAGGGAGAAAGGGTATCTAGACAGATGGATACACGTAGGTCTGAAGCTCATCAGAGGAGCCGCTGGGTCTGGAGATGTGAATTGGGAGTTACTGGGATGTATAAATAGTATTTCATGTCCTGGGATTGGATGAGACGGGTATAAAGTGAAAAGAGGGCACCAAACCAGGACATGGAGTCAGTAAAGGACAAAAAGAGCCTGCCAGAGAAGTAGCAGGAAACGAGGGGAGCGTGTTGTCTCTGAGGCTGGGTGAGTGCAGTCAGCCTTGACAAGTGCTGCTGAGAAGTGTAGTAAGGTGAGCACTGAAAAGCATCCTCCGTATTTATCCCCAGGGAAGACCCTGGTGCTTCCATGGGACACCATAACTGAAGGGGCAGAGACAAGCCACACTGGAGACAGTTAAAAGTGAGAAGGGGAAGTGACAGCCAGTGAACAAACAGGCTGACTGGAGAAGCTTGTCTCTGAGGGGAATAAAGAGATTGAGGGGGAGGGGAGAGGGCAGAGGTGGAAAGATAGAGCAAAGCTGTTCTAAGAGTCACTTATGTCTGAGGTGGAGCCCAAGAATCTACATAACTCCAAAGAGAGGTAAAGATTGAAAATGCAGAGAAGGGATAACCGAGAGAGGTGGAAGAGGATGGGACCCAGCAAACTTGTACAGCGACTGACTTTAACTGTAACCACAGGGAAGAAGGAAGCTGGGAGATTTAGGATTAGAAGATGAGAGATTCCTTTCTTTCTATGGTATGACAAAAACAACCTGCTCCTAAGGCTCATGTTAATTGCCATGGAATTGATTCCAATTCATGGCTGTAAGGCTCATACCACTTGGTAATACCATAACACTTCCTCCCTGTCCTTGTCTCTCTCATCATCTAGTAACTGGGGTAATGGATCCTTCTCCCCAAGCCCTGCTGTCACCTGGCAGCATCCATGTGGGGGGACCTATCCCACACGCTGGCCTCTCAGCCCCATCACTGTCCCCTTCCAATGACACACTCCTGCATTCTGCCTCCACCTCAACCTCCCAGGGCCACACACCCCACACTGGAATCATTAACTGAAGCACCCTGCTTTCTAGCCACACCCTGCCATCCCTCCAGCTTGCTCCCCTGTGACCTTTCTTCAACATCAGTCCATGGTGCTGTCCTCTCTCCCTTGGTGTATCCACCCTCTCCTTTTTCCCCTTCCCTCCTTATCCAGCTTCAATTCTATTTTCCCTATTTCTGAACAGGTATAGGGGTTAGGATTCCAACACATATTTTGGGGGACACAATTTAATCCATAACACCCTTTCTCTCATGTATATTCCACCTCTCCTCAAATCCTGGCTCCTAGAAAAATAGTCCTTCAATTTGCTCATCTCATCCATCTCGAAACAAACCAAAATAGAACTTCCCTGAGACACACAGCCTCTCCAGCTATCACTCCTCCTCTCCTTCACAGCCACACTTATCTTCAGAGTTGTTGATACTCCATTTCCTCCTCCTTGACCCATCCCATCCTGGCTGCAGCCCCATCACTCTGCAAACAAAACAGCCCTCATCAGGGTCCCCAGGGACCTCCATGTCACTACATTCATGACTTCCAGTAGCATTCAGTACCTCTTACTCCTTCCGTCATTCTTGTGAAACTTGACTGACATTTATTTTTGTAATGACTTGATGAAAACACGTCTCCCTCTCTGTACTCTAAGCTCCTTGAGGTGAGGAGCAGCGTCATTTGTATCACAGTCTCTCGGTTCTTATATCTCATTGCCAGCTTGTTATCTCCACTTGGATTCTCAAAGCACCGGAAATCCAACATCTCTAATCATGATCTTCTCCACCAAGCTTCTCTCCAAGGGCTCCTCTGTCTATCCAGTTGTACAAGTCTAGCAGCTGGAGTCAGCCTTGACACTTCCCCCTCTCCCACCACCCTCATGCCCAAATAAGGATAGTCATCAATTGAAAATCGAAGTTGGGAGATTGAGGAGGCTCCCAAGGGAACCCAAGCTACTCCACAGAAGAGTGTATTTTGAACACGACCCACCGGGAAGCATCCGTGCAGTTCATTGTGTGTGTGCATGTGTGTGTGTTCGTGCACACCATGCTTAACAGAAAAGGCAGTTGCCTCCTTTTGACAGTGGGCATCTCATCCCTCTTCCCAGAGAATTAGACTCAATTGATTTTGTACCCACCCCCACCCCCACCCCCTTTTTCTTCCCTCCTAACAAAGAGCCAGGCTGGATTTCTTGTGCAGCTTGCCTTGGGTCTGCAGGTAGCCTTGAGATCTGCCTGGCCGTGGTGAGAGGCCCTGAAACACTTATCTTACAAGTGTTTGTTAGCCCAAGAGATACTGAAACATCTGTGAAGCCACCACAGGCCCACGTGGAATCCAGAGGGTTGAAGGGATGTTGAGGATCCAGGACTAGGATCTATCTCTTTCAGTTGCAAACTTATTTTTTTCCATGTAGTTCAACATGAAAGACAGTCTGTTTGATTAATTTCCCCATGTCCATATAAGATTCACTATTCTTCCTAAACTCAAAAAAATTATTTTTTTATTGGTAAACATCAAGACTTTGAAAATAGCCCTTTAAAAAATAAAGCAACAACAAATGGATCAAACATTACCAAAAAAAAAAAAAAAAAAAATCAAACCCATTGCCGTCAAGTTGATTCCGACTCCTAGTGACCCTATAGGGTGGAGTAGAACTGCCCCATAGGGTTTCCAGGGAGTGGCTGGTGGATTCTAACTGCTGACCTTTCGGTTATCAGCCTGAGCTCTTAACCACTGCACCACCAGGGCTTCAAATGTTACCAGGACTCAAATTTTTAGGTGCCTAATACTAGCTTCCACCACCCATCTGTCAGTTTATCCTACTGTGATGGTTTATGTGTTGCTACGATGCTGGAAGCTATGCCACCAGTATTTCAGATACCAGCAGGGTCACTCATGGTAGACAGGATTTAGCAGAGCTTCCAGACAAAGACTAGGAAGAAAAGCCTGGTGATCTACATCTGAAAACTAGCCAATAAAAACCTTATGGATCACAGTAGAATACTGTCTGATATAGTGCTGGAAGATGAGACCCCTATGTTGGAACCAACCAAAACCAAACCCACTGCCATTGAGTTGATTCCAACTGATAGCGACCCTGTAGGACAGAGTAGAACTGCCCCATCAGGTTTCCAAGGCTGTAAATCTTTACAGAAGAAGACTGCCACATCTTTCTCCTAGGGAGTGGCTGGTGGGTTCGAACGGCCCAGCCTTTCAGTTAGCAGCCAAGCGCTTTAACCACTGTGCCACTAGGGCTCCTCTTAGGTTGGAAGGTACTCAAAATACACAACAGCCGCAACAATGTACTCAAGCATATCAATGATTGTGAAGGCGGCGCAGGACTGGGTAATGTTTTGTTCTCTTGTACATGAGGTTGCCATGAGTTGGCAACTAACAACAATACCAGCTTGGGAGGCACCATAAGTGACAGATCAAAAGTAGAATTAGGTGAGAATTTTCTTGTTATCATGTTTGCGTACACACCAGATCTGGCCTGATATGGTATCTGTTATCAAGAGGCTTTATCTGTTGGCTTCTCCTTTGTTACTTTGGCAGGTGCTTCCTTCCTCATTGCGGTTATTTACGTAACAGGTAGTTTCTCTGTTTCTTTAAATAGTAAATCAAACAACGGACGCAAAGCTAGACGGCTGTTTCAGTCTCTTTTCATCGCTCACACGTTTTTCACTGCTCTTGATCTTCAGAGAAAAATGAAAGTTCATTATACAAATCTGAACAATCCAAATGTTATTAATATTTACAAGTTACTTTTATTGGAAATAAAAAGTGGCATTTTTAAAGTGGTTCATTAAAAATCTCAAAACGTTGTCCTTATAATTACATTTAGTTGTTCTGAAGGTAATTTAAGCAAACATTTTCTAAAAATCTAGTTTTCCACCCACCAAAGGACCCGTAGGCCTCTCACCCAGCCTGTGACTCTGGTGAAGTAAAATCCCTGCTTCCAGTTCTTCTGGGTGTATACCTAGAAGTAGCATTGTTGGGTCATTTGGTAATTCCATGTTTAACTTTTTGAGGAACCACCAAATGGCTGCACCATTCTACATTCCCACCAGCAATGGATGTATGTTCTAATTTCTCTACTTCCTCACCAACACTGGTTATTTTCCTTCTTTTATAATAGACATCTTAGTGGGTTTGAAGTGGTATCTCATGGTTTTGATTTGCATTTCCCTAATGACTAATGATGTTGAGCATCCGTCAATGTTATCCTAAAGCTTAATTTTCTAAGATCATGAAGTTTAAAATAAAGGTTTGTGCTACATGTCCACTGCAGGTAGCTCTGTGGCAGTATATGGTAAATAAGGTTAAGAAACTAGATTTTGAGTCATTGAGACCTGGATTTGAATCCCAGCCCTGTCACTGAATAGATGCGAATAACTCTTTATACCTTTGTTTCTTCTCAGTGAAATAGGGAAACCTATTTAAGAATTAAGTGAGATAATATGTGAAAATGGCATAATATACATAATTAGCATTCAATAAATGACTTATTGCCACCACTTGGCATGCACCTATGGAAACATTGAGCCTTACTATTAATATGACACCCAAACCAAAAACCATTAAGGAAAAGAATGATGGACAGGAGTACATAAAAATTAAAAGTATCTGTATAGGAACAGCAACAGTAAACTAGCAAGCACTTATATAGCACTTAGAGGGGGCAGTGGTAGTTCAGTGGCAGAATTCTCACCTTCCATAAGGAAGATCTGGGTTCGATTCCCACCAATGTACCTCAAGCACAGCCGCCACCCATCTGTCGTATGTTGCTAAGTTGCTGAACAGGTTTCAGTGGAGCTGAACTAAAACAGACTAGGAAGAAAGGCCTGGCAATCTATTTCCCCAAAAAAAATCAGCCAATGAAAACTTTATGGATCACAATGATTTGAGCCCATTGTGTATGGGGCCACCACGAGTCAGGGGCCGACCACAACAACATATTGCACTTACTACTGTTCTAAGTGCTTTATATACTTTTTTAACCCTGAGAGGTAGGTACTACTTTATGCTCATTTAACAGATAAGGAAACTGAGACTCACAAAGTTTAAGTAAGTTGCTCACGATCACATAGCTGGTGAGTGGTGGAGCCAGGATTCAAACTCAGACAATCTGAACCCGAGCCTGTGCTCTTAAAGCTGTTCTGTGCTGTCTGAAGTGTCTACATGACTAAGTTAAAAGACGGAACAACAAACTGAGAAAAAATATCTGTAACAGTGCAATATAAATATCTGTAGTGTCGTACAACTGTTTACTAGCCTAAATATAGAAAAATCTCCTGCAGAACAAACAAGTCATGAACAACAAGTTAAATGAACAACCCCAAATAAAAATGGACCATGAATCTGAACAGACATCACAAGAAAAGATACACAAATGGCCAAGGCACGTTAAGAAATGTTTAACCTCACTAATTAAATAAAGGAGCCCTGGTGGTATAGTGGTTAAGAGCTTGGCTGCTAACCAAAAGGTCAGCAGTTCAAATCCCCGGGCTGTTCCTTCGAAACTCTATGGGGCAGTTCTACTCCGTCCTATAGGGTTGCTATGACAGCACCTAACAACAACAGTGAAATAAACACCGTTAACATGATGAAATTTTTTCACCTATCAGATTGGCAAAGGGTAGAAATTTAATATCCGGTATTAGCAAGGTGATGAAGAAGCAGGAGCTCTTGAACTTTCACGAAGGCACTGGAGAGCTCCCAAGGCTGCTAGAACTTGAGAAACCAGGGCCTGGGGAGAAGGCAGACGCAGAGAGGTGGGTCTGACACTTGGTGATTCGAAAGTGCTGGCTCAGAAGCTGAGAGGCTGAGATGCTGAGCAGAAAGGCGAAGATAAGAAGCTGGGAAGCTGAGCAAAATGTTTTTTAGACACATTTAGGGCTGGCAGTAAAAAGTGGCCTTCAGAGCCTGCTGAAAACACCAGGCTTTCCGTTGGGGCCCTGAAGAGACTCTTACCTAGGAGGAGGTGAACTGAGCGTACCAGCTGCCATCCAGTCAATTCTGACTCATGGAGACCACGTTTCAGAGTACAACTGTGCTCCATATCGAAAGCAGATTGCCAGGCCATTCTTCTCAGGCACTATGGGTATGTTCAAACTGTCAACTTTTCAGTTAGTAGCTGAGCACTTAACCATTTTTGCCCCCCAGGGTGATGGCGCTGCCCTGACTGCCCCTTGGTGTTGGTGAATCAGCAGTAATTCACCAGTTTTTCTTCTTTCTTATTTTACTATGGGCCTACCATAAGCTACCTACCAGTGTTAACTTCTGGTGTTTAAGATAAGCAGCTTTACATGCTTGTTTTCCTCCTGCAGTAGCTAAAAACTGCTTCTGAGTTTCCAAGACCTAAATACAGCACTTTTCAGGAAGTTTTTTGTTGTCATTTTATGTCTTGTTTTTATTCTTTTGCACACTGTATGACAGACATCTGGAAGAGTATTTACCAAAATTTATATAGTGGTTCTTGCTGCTTGGCAGGTTTTCAGGTGACTTTTACTTTCTTCTTTGAACTTTCTAAATCCTTTTTAGGTTTTAAAATGAACATGAATAATGTCTATAAAAATGAGCCATTTAAAAATGAGTAACTATATTTATTGGCAGATATTGATGACATATCACTGCTTTCCAACCTGCTTTTTCTTTCACTTTGTTTGAATTCATGTTTCTTGACAATCTTCTATCTGCAGGAATATGTGTCCATAGAAAATAATGGTGGCGGTGGTTGCCTTATCCTGTGGGTGATTTGTTTCCTTTTTCTACCTGTGGCACTGTCTGAAGTTTTAAATGAGCAGGTATCATCGATACTTCTTTTCCCTTTTAGAAGCTAGCCATCAGGTCCTGAGTCTTTTCCACACGAAGCACATTCAGATTCTTCGGCCAAGCCGCATGTACACCATGGTTTTCAGCCCAATCCTAGTTGCTTTCTTTTAAGTACATTCTCACGCCTGTACCTATTACAGCAGCACTTCTCAAACTTCTTTGCCTCACTTTCACTTTCAAAAAACATTGAGGATTCCAGCGAGCTTTTATTTATGCGAACTGTGTCTATTAGTATTTACCATATTAAAAATTAACACTGAGAAATTTTACATTTAAGTCATTTAAAGACAATCCAGATTTTCCTCATATACTTCAAGTAAAATAATATACCGTAACAGATTAAATATGGAAGCAGATATGAGAATTCAGCTGTCTTCTATTAAGTTTATCATTAAAGAGATTTGCAAAAATGTCAAACAATGCCACCTTCCTCACTGAAGTTTTGGAAAAAATAGTTTTTTCACATAAAAATGTTCTTTAACATGTAATAGGTTTATTATTATTTTTACTATTACATTTGATCTTAACTCCTCAAAAAGCTAGCTATGTTTAGGTGAAATCTGAAAGGCCTAGGACAGTGAAATAATGCTGTTCCCAAATGTAACCTTATAATATGAACTAGGAAACAAATTGGAAATCAAAGAATAAAAACACGAGGCTTTCCAATTAGTAAACTAATGTCTCCAAGTATAAAAAAACTTTGAAAACTTCAATTATTCTTTGATTTTTACGTAAACCCTACAAAAATCCAATAGAAATATATATATATTCAAAAATGTAACTACTGAAGTTTGAAAATGCAATCAAATGAGCTTTTTCCCCCTCAGTTTCTGAAGTGCTGGAAAACTGGAATTTCAGAAGGTACAAACAATAATCTCTTCTCATGCCCAGAGCCTAAATGAGCAGCAAAACAACAATATACTCCCTCTAACACGTCTTGGAGGCTCCTCCCTCTCCTTCGTCTTAAGAGAGTCTACCATGCTCAACATTTCACCATCAGCTGCCTTACTTGATCCCACTTTTTGTTCAAAGATTTGTAAAAAAGGGAATAATGTAATACATGCCTAGGGAAAAAAAAATTTCCAGGGATATATGCCACCCACACTATGAATGGGGGTTCTGGACTACAAGGGACTTTAAGATTTCTAAATTTTTGTAGTATTTAAAATCAAATAAGCATGTCTTACTTTTGTTAGAAGAAAACAATTTTTTTTATAAAAAGGAACTGGCAGTGAATTATCCTGTTGAAATAAAAATTCTCTAAGTACAGTCATCCTTGTTTTGATAACTTATGGTATAGCTCATCATATATCCACTTTCATTAAAGTGAGACAGCATATCCCTATTCCCATATTTTATGTATTTTCCATTTGTATTTAACAAACCAACATTTTCCACTACGTGAATAATTTACTCTCAGATCTGTAAGAGAGGAAAAACCTATCTGTAATGTGAAGTAGCCCATTTGAGAGTGAAATCTAAATATGAGAATTTAAGGGAAAAAAAGCTCTTAAAACAGTACTGCTTAATTTTATGCAGAGAATGACCTTGTACCAGGACTTCATAAGAAACAGGAAGAAAACACACAAAAGAACCAATTCTTAAAATGATCTCTTCATTTTTAATTTTTTTAAAAGCATGTCCACAGCACACTCCAAGAATGCCACACAGCAATGGTTTGCTGCTCTTTGTCAAACAGAATATGTTAGAAAACAAAACAAAATTTAAATGGTAAAGGTTTTAAAAATTGGATAGCTCTCTGAAAATTTCTGTCAATAATCTCCAGCCACTTCATCTTTGTTTCAGAGTAGTAAACATTTCAGAAATGTAATGAATATCTACCCCAATCATGCTTCTCTGAAATGCAGTTAAAAACTATACAACAGAAACAAAAATAAATATTTTTCTAGAAAGAACATATTTGGCATTTTAAAATGTTAAGATGTTTAGGTTTTTTTACTACTATCAGACAGAAAGGCTGGGTCTTTAGTGGTAACATGAGGAATCATTATATTGTAGTTTATAAACTTCCACCTAACAAACCAAGGAGAAAAGAACAGCGCTTGCTTTTTTCTTAGAAGCGGAGTCCAGTCAGTACCAGAAGCTATTAAAAGGTCAGATAATTCAAATTAGTTGGTTAATCTGGCACCCGAGTTGCTTTAAATATAATTTTCCCCATTTGATTATTTAATATTTCTAATTTGCTTGCCATGTTTCTCTCAAAATCAGTAAGTACATAGTTTGAGTGAAATGTAAACTGAACTCTGTTTCATTAACTTCATTAAAATGTGTCAAACACGGTTAAGTCTTATATTCTGTCCTTCCAAATAATTCGTATTTTCATTATAAATGTAAAGCAGCTACACCATGAGTTATATCCTAATCATTTTACCTAAATGTAGAAAAGGTGAAAGTTAAATTTAAAAAAAAATTTGTTTTTGATAGTTAATATGTTCTTCTATATTTATCTTTTTCAGAAACTTACGATGCCTTTTCTTGGATGTAAGTATGGAAAAAGTAGCCTTCAGTTCGTTTTCATGATGTTCCAATAAAAAGTATATTGCTTATGTCTATTTCCATCAGCCATTGTGAAACCAAATTTCCATTTATAACACCCACTAAAGAGAAGAAATTTTCCTTTAGAATCATGGTCATAGTCTGGAAAAAGAATTGAGAAGGGCTAATTTTAGGTCAATAAAATATTCAAGTAAAGATGCAACACAAAACAGGGAGGTGAAAAAAAGCAAATATGTTGTGATAAAACCCTCCCCTGTAAACACATCCGTCCTTTCCTCCCATATTGGGAAATATTAACTAAGTTTTAAAAATTCTCATGAAAACATTCCGTATGATGAATCATGTAAAATCAGGCATATTTCAGGTAGATAACCTTTAGCTGTTAAGGAATTATATTATCCTATTCATAAGATGAGAGGTAGTGACATACTATCGTCTCAATGCTGAGCTAAGATTTCCACACATCTGCCACATGGGTTACAAGAAAAAAAACACAGAAGCACCATTGTACACTCCTCATGTTTCCTTTTTTGGTATTTCGAGTCACCCATAACTTCATCGCCATTGGCAGCTGACAATCACCACTGTGTTAACAATTAAAGGCAGCGGGTACTGGTGTTATTCATTATGTAGTACTGGTGGACCTCCATCATCTTTCAAAAATGAAGCAGCCTTCCTTCCATTCTTCTGAACATGATCTTCGTTCATCTTCTCTAAAGCTTCTATCTGTAAAATTAATACATTCGTCAAAATGCTACTTTACAGAAACTATACTTCAGATTGAGCCTGTTATTTCTACTCTCCTAAACACTAGGACATTCCTAATGATGGCCGACCTTGAATTAGAGTTACAGTGTATGTGGGTGTATGTCTACTCCTCACATGTCCATGTATGTTATTGGTTTGATTATATTACCAGGGTCAATATATATAGTATTTTTATCAAGTTAGCAACTGGAATCAGATATGTTTAACTATGAACTGTACAAAGCCTTCAGGGAAGAGGGAAAAAGGGAGGAACTCCAATGTTCACTCAACAACAGTAACATCAATTTACTAAGCAAGTGTACTGTGTTGGATTTACCACCTTCCTGTTCCTTCTCTGGCCTTAGCTTGGTCAAACTCAAGTCATAGTTGGAAGTTTTACAACAGTCTATATTCTATATGATCGTTCCCTGAAGCTGCTTGGTATAATATTGGGATTAATTAGCTGCTATTTTAATTTTTAGTTTTTGTTCAATTTTATGAGAGCTTCTCTGGAGAAGGATTCTTTTATGGCTCTGTAAATCCAACATTGTAATGACTAGGTCTTTCCCAGGATAACCACTTCTAACCTATGTTCAGGTAAGGGCAGGGACCATGTGTCACTGTTTTTGTGTCACCCAGAGTGTTTACCTGCCAACTTTCTCAGTCACAAGATAGGGAAAATAAGAGTATACTGGAAATGTGTTATTTGTCCATCTTAACCAAATTGTGAGCTCCTTGAAGAGTTTTGCCATGTTTATCTTAAGTTTTAAGCCTGGAAAGGACCAAAAACATCTCAAGAAAAGAAAAACCTCATTAATTTTGTTTTTGAAGGGAAGAGAGGATAAAATGAGCTCTGTGTTTCAGCTATCTACTCTATCCAGTTCCCCATTACCAGGAAGGTAAAAATGGCTGTACAATACTTACCTCAGCTAAGAAATCAGCTTCATTATCCGCTGAGATGTTTAAGCCTGAAACAGCATTGAAGAGTTCTCGTTCATTAAGGGCTTCCTTTACTCCTCCCTTCTGGAAAAACTAATACAGAAATACAAGAAAGTCAGTAAGAGATATTAACAAGGTTATCTCATAAATTAAAAATAGGGGAGTAAAGGAGAACGAAGAACACCAAGAACACAAGGAAAGTATCAGCCCAAGAGACAGAGTGGGCCACATAAACCAGAGACTTCATCAGCCTGAGACCAGAAGAACTAGATGGTGCCCGGCTACCACCAATGAACATCCTGACAGGGAACACAACAGAGGGTCCCTGATGGAGCAGTAGAACGATGGGATGCAGAACTCAAATTCTAGTAAGAAGACCAGACTTAATGGTCTGCCTGAGAC